CTATTTCAACGGCCATCTCAAGCGCAGATACCGACCATGGTGGATGAAGTACAATTACATCCTGTCAGCTGGACTCGATGCGGCGCTGGCAGTCGGCAACTTTCTCATCTTTTTCTGTTTGGTGTACCCCGGTGTTCAGCTTAAGTGGTTTGGGAACGAAATCACCGCGAAAACCGCCGATGGGATGGGACTGCCGTTGCGAACGGTGGGGCGCGGACAAACCTTTGGACCGCGGAGTTGGAATTAAGGCTCGTGAAGAGCGTCAGATAAATGTTCGTTATTATTAGAGCACTTTTGCAGAAATCTCTGCCTAGTAATCTACGCGCTCAGTGCTTTTGCTGTCTGTCTGCAGTCTGCTGCCAAAATAGGTGTGATGTCAGTACGTGCGGAGGTGGAGAGCCTAACATCCCCACTTCACCTGGGGTAATTATCATCTGGATACCTCTCAGGAGATCTAACTAATTCATTGATGGCATTCCTGCAGATTATGGAACACGTCATGCTCAAAGTCAGATATAATTTCTGATTATCGCTAGGTAAGAGGCAGACGATAAAGGAAATATGCCACTCCACTCCAGAACGACAGTGGCTGAGTGGTATGACATGGCATGATTCTCTCTATTCACGGAGTACGTACTTGCATGCGGCAGCTGCAAACTATGCGGTAAGAATAGAAGAAAGCTGAGCGACTAACAGTATTAATATCTCACTATTGGCAGCCAACTTCCACGTAACTGTCTACGTAGATAGTGAGATTGCAAAATGGGTAATATCACTGTTCACAAGACTCTAGACGGGCCAAACGCAGATCCCTTGTCCAACCGCCAAGGAAGCTAAATCCGGAGCTGGGGCTCAGAGTCTCAGACTAGTCAACGCCCGAGCTTCCCAGGCCCAGTCAGCTTGCCCTACCGCCCCGTGGCATGTCTACCAGGATGTGTTGTCGGAGCCGGGGCTGAATGGCTGTGTTCTGGGCCCCCGTTGGAATGTGAAGGTACAGTACTTACGGAGCACGCATTACTCCGTAACAAATGCCTTGGAATTTAGTTCCACCACATATGGTCGTGGATCATACCAAGAATACAGGTAGAATAGGTAGGCGAATTAGGCGCATACTTGTGCTGTTTCATCTCACCTTGCAGATTTGCATTTGCGATCGCCGTAGATAATTKTAGACAGATACTCTGTCGAGAAAGGATTGGATGGCTAGTGTGTGGTAATCCTGCAAATCACTGTAAATGGTCTGATTAAGGTGCGCGCCAACTTTAAATGCTGGAGCAAACCCCGCCATGAGTGAGGTGACGGCCGGCAACCAGACGACAAGACGCGATTGTCGAGCGGATGATAAAGAGCTCGTTCTGGCGCAACTGCAACATGATTAAATATTTCCCCTCTCTCTGATTTCATTTTCATTCCGTATCTTTTGTCATCGTCCTGATCGGCGGTCGGTCGCATTCTCAATCCATCCATCGTCACTAGCTAGTACCTTAGTTACTGTCTGTACTCCGGTTTCTACGGTACACAAGCGGCCAATCCGTTGTTCCCAGCCGAAAGCGCAGACCATCGACGAGTCTGGAACGGACCATGGGGCTGTCGTCAAGCGACGGTGAAATGAACAGTAAAAATCATCACATGGTCATCGTGCTTGGTATAGGATTGGGAGTCGTCTCATTGATCATCATGTGTCTGCTGTGAGTCTTCTCCCATCACTATCTACCAGGCTGCGCTATGCAAGCAACGTAGCTAATTTAACAGATTGACCATCTTCATCAACCGCCGCGAGCGAACGCCCCCCAAGAAGAAAAACAAAAAAGACCACAGCGATAAGTTGCGCAGATTGGACGCGGTCTCGCCGATTCGAACGCTGGAAGAATGGTGGTCCAAATCAAAAGGTCCTCTTTTGCCCTCCGAAGGGGCGGATGGGCAGTTTATCTGGTACGTGGGCTTTCCAGCTGGAGCGATCGCGAAGCTCATCCCCAGCTAACATTCATCTTCATTCAGCGTCGTCTGTCTTGAATCCGTCCTACGCTCCCAGGAAATCCGAGAACTCAAATGTCTGCACGTCTTTCACAAGGAATGTCTGGATAAGTGGTACCTGCAGGACCACTTCAACTGTCCGCTCTGTCATCGCGCATATTTTGTTCAGGAGTCGCGGCCCAGCCACGACTTTGTATGGATGGTATGACGGAGTCGCGTGATATGACGGTCGGCCATCATGGATTTCTGCTTTTTGTTGCAGCACCGAACCCGCGCTGGACGCGTAATGCTTACCAAAGTCTTACGACTCTGTCTTATGATGTTATGACCAATGCAATACCTCACAAATGAACCAACACCGATCAGACGGGAAACCCATCTCTCGATGGTAGATACTCGAAATTGAAATCCCAGGTGTTGGGATTATACCAGTCCAAGACGTTGTACAGGCCCGAGGTCGCATCGTTGAAGACTTCGGCTTGCACAGGCTGTGGGTCGAGAATCTGATCGAGTATATGCGACAGTTTCTTCTCAACCTCCTTGCATGTCTGGTAATTCCCATGCCCGGGGCGCGCTACCCAGGACAGGCATGAGAGAAAGACGCTTAGGTTCCGGATGAGTTCGGCCCGCGGTAAAACGATGGCATGGGGTCCGACTTCCCGGCTCTGTCGGAGGAGCTCGAGTGTCAAGACGCTGGCGCTGGGGAGACCGTAATAGAGAATCTGTACCGTGTCAGTCTTTTGAAGCCACGAACAAACCGCGCAGAGCATGTTCATACGATCCATGAGTAATGCCGGGTCATGTCCATCAGTGAATCTCTCTCCGCGTTGATTCTGATGATGTTTGACAGTACCTGTCTGGATGTTTCGAAAAGTGCCGCTTGACCGGTGTTGGTGCGTTTGACAAGCGTCCTCTGAACCAGAAAGACGGTGTACAAGTAGTCGAGATAGGTATGAAGTAACGCAAATGACGAACAATAGAGATCATTATCCTCCACGTCCGCACGAATATCGTAGCGCAGATAGGCAGGAGCTGTGTCCCATGTATTCTGTGCTTTCTCAACCAGGCGACTACGGAATGTCTCAGCAGTGGTAGATTGTTTGGCTTCGGGGTCTTACTTTGATTTCTCCACGAGATCATCCTGATCACCAGTCCCGAGCGCTAGTTCAAGCGCCTCTTCCCGGAAGATGGCGAGCAGGAATCGAAGGCGAATTAGTGTAACGGGGTGGGTGGTCCCATAAACATGCCATCCCGCCTTGTCCAGATCCGATATTGCTTGCGTCAGAGTGTTGCCGCCCGCAAGTAGTATTTCATGACTGATATCCATCGGAGGAGTCAACGTGCAGTATCGGTAATTGATGAGGGGCGGCCGGCCCACGAATGTAGCAAGCGACTTGTCCGCGTAGAATGCCGAAGCAAAGCAGACTCTTCTCCATTGACGTAGGAACCACGGGCAGTCATCAGTCTGAGTGCTCTCTTGATGAAGACCGGCAGCGTAAATGGTGGCGGACAAATCACCCAGCCGACGCCAAGCTTGATAACCTACATAACGATCAACAAAACATCAACTGTTCGTAGTGGATAGTCATACTGGAGTCTCCGTATTGCTGTGTCCTTAACATAACGTCGTTGTACTGGTAGAAGCCCAGGAGTTCATTCACCGACGATGCCTGATCGCAGAAACTGAGGCAGATGCCACTGGCCTCAACAATCTGAGCGCGTAGTCGATCTTTGGCCTCGCTATCAGGCGCTGCTTGAGTGAAATCAGGATCGCTGTCAGGCGTGGACATCAACGCTATTCCGGTAATCGCAAAGATATTCCCCAGAGCTTCCCATCGGGAGTTCCTCCCAGTAAATGAAGATAAGTACTGCTCCACAGTCATCGAACMATGAACAGTCAGCGGGCGAGAAGTATTTTGAAAAATCTGATTGACCAAATCTTGAAACTGAGATTCGAAGTCATTTGCGTCTAAACTGTCAAATATCCTTCGGATAGACTCAACGATCGAATAAATAACGATCTTCGGCACGATGGTAATCACTGTCCGAGCATGGTACTTGCGAATCATGATATCGCAGACCGGAAGATCGTACAGCAATTTGAGCACCTCCGAGCCCATTTGCAATCGATCCGAATCAACAGAGCGAGTGGACACTGCAGCCGCAGAACTGTTGTCTACTTCAAATGGGATGTCACTCCGATGCTCGGTAAGAACAGCTGAATAGCTGGTCGACCCAAGGTATCCAGGAAGAGCCGATGGCGGCTCCAGCGTCGTACGGAACCGACTATGTTCACGATTTGAGCCAGGACTTGAGGCACTACGAACAGTCAGTCTCTACCATGAATGCGCACCGTCATCAGCCGGGATCACATGAACGGGTTCTGACTTTGAACTTGGCTGGCTCGTCAATCTCCTTGATGCTTCGATGGGGCTGGCTCGACCAGCGAATGTTCGCTTTGTCATTGGGGCAGGATGATAGAAGCATCGGCTAGTGATGTTCTTTGCCGTACAGCGGCCACACACCGGTCTCCCATGATCACAGCGCAATTTCGCTTTGCGACAGGGTTCGCAGGACTGGAGCGTTCCATTGCGACGGACTGCCGGCGATCGGGTTTGTCCTGTGATTTCGACCATCCTCTGCAGCTTGAAAGTATCTTCCGCGAAGAAAGTCTGGTGCCCATGAAATCATTACAACATTTTCAAGTTTAGGGCTAAGTTTCGATAGTTGATTGAATATGCATCTGAAAGGATTATGGTGTGAGTGAAACGGTGTCATGTCAGCAAAAGTGGGCCTCAGGCCCTCTAGCTCAATGCGGTTAGCGTGGTCGAAGATATAGATCTCTATCAACAAATCCTACTACCTACTCGAGACGAACTCACTCCGAGAACAATACCCATGAAGCCTAAGTCGTTGATCGGTTATACTAAATTTACCAGCGGAGGATATTTTACGAGATTGCGCCAATATCAACAATTCGCCTTGATATGTGAGCTCGTCCAGCACAAGTTGACACAAACCGGATCTCAATTTCTTCGCTCCACCAATAACGCCTCCCCGTAGTGGCTGATATCGTACCCATTTTCTTCCAGATAAGCCTTGAACCGAGCATCTTCGGTCTCCAGCTCACGGGACATGTCCGGGATTAGGAACCACGAACAAAGACCTCCAAGCACAGCGAACCCAGAACCAATCAAAAACACCGCCTGCTGACCTTTGAAGGTGGAATCGAAAGAGTTCTGGATCGGAGTGAATACTTCTGTCCCAATGGCAGCGCCAGCTTTGCCCACAGCTGCTGCCAATCCCATGAAGTGACCTCGAAGCGGGGTTGGGAAAGACTCCGAGGCGCAGAGGAAGGTCGATACGCCAGGGCCCATCTCTTGAAAGGCGTTGAAAATGCCATACATCACAACGAATAAGGGGAACACAGACTGGATAGGGCGGAGTGCTCCTCCCAAGATGAATCCCCAAATAGCGCAGAGCATGAATCCAAGGGTCATGTTTTGCTTACGTCCGATCCGATCCATCAGCAGCCCACCCACTATGCAACCTGGGAGGTAAAAGCAATTGACTACCGTCTGCAGCACAGGCATAGAACGTTAATCCAGGTCGTGGTCAAGTATAACTGGCAGTGGATGTACTTACTCCGAAACCAATGTTCTGAACTGTGGTGTTATCAGGCCCGAGTTGAGAGATGATTGTGGATGAAAAGATGCCAAAAGGGTATGAAATGAAGTCATAACAGAACCATGCAAGAGCTGAGAAGTCAGTTACGTCGACATGGCTGCCTTTGAATGGTATGCTTACAAGTGCCCAGCATAGGTTTCCAGTACCTCTTCAAGACAAGCATATATGGATACTTCGATTTGATGGCGTGCTTCCGGTATTGTGTCGAATTGGCCATGCGGATTCGGAGGAAGAAAATGAGAATGGGAAGCTATTGCTTGTTGTCAGCAGCCAGGCAGCCTAGAACGCTTTTTTTCTGGGATAATTGCTCACCACAACACCGATGATGAAGGAAACCCGCCATACGCCGCCTTTGACCTCTTGTTGGAAGCAAGCAAGAACAATGAGAGATACAATTCCTGCAGCCACAAAACCCTGAATGCAGTCAGCTCCACGTGCATGGCTCAACTTAGTCTGTACAAACCAGGTCAATAGCGAAGTCAGTGGTTATCGCGACCAAGAAGCCCCTCTTTCGCCTCAAATCAGCGGTCTCGTCTGCTGCTTCAGTCGCGCTCGCGCCGCAGACAGGATACTCACCGCCGGCGCCAACACCGGCGATGCCGCGGGCGACAATCATCATCCAAAACATTCTATATTTATGTCAGTCGCTTGTCTAGTGGCTCCTGGAGTTGTGAGGGTTGTACCCCAATTCCGATGTCCCATGAGCGGCTGCAGCCAAGACAATTCCGAGGACAAGAAGGACAGTGGCTGCGACTATACCAGTCGTTCGACCTACTCGGTCGGTGAGGACACCGAAGAAGAGCATTCCGAAGATCTCTCCGATAAGATAGGAATTGGAGAGCCGAGTCTTGATCATGCTGGACATGCCGTCCTTGTATCTGATCAATTTCGGAAGAGCAGTCAGTAATGCAAGCTCCTGAGAGTCATGGATGGTCCTGGATGTGCTCACAAAACGGAGAACAATGGCTCCATGTAGCCAACTATAGATTCAATGAATGTCAGCGACTGTTGATGGATGCGCAAACAGATACAGAAGTACATACTAATCTGTGCGTTGTACCCATCACTGAACAGGGCTAAACCTGACACAATGACGTTCACGACACCTCCCTGCTTGCTTCCTGGAATAACCTCAGACTCATGTTGCTTTGGAGTTTTATCATTATCTTCAACTGTCGATTTGAACTTCATGCTGATCTGTCCGTCTTCCATTGTCCCGTCTGAATCCATCGCTGCGGACGAGCTGACTGGGAACGGGCCGAATTCGAATCTAACAGAGCGCAAAAGATCGCAAGTGAAATGAGAGATGTTTTTATTAAGTGAGCTTGGTTTTATACATGTCTAGAATATGTACATATTCTGTATGGAAGCTCTCGTTTGAATTGCCATACCTGATCTCACGATGAATGTCCAATAATTGTCTTCAGAGCTGCCACGCGTGCAGGGTTGTCGCAACTCACAATGTCGAGCTCACAGCATGCGACCTGGTAACATTATCGGCTTGGACTTTACACTTTCATGTGCAACCCGCTTCTAAGTCAAGCGCAAACTAAGCGGACGTGCCCATTGCCTAGTGCCGGCTACCAGATGGTGGGGGCTACCTTAGACCCCTATCGTCATTGACACATGGGCATCAACTCACAATGTCAGTGGCTGAGAGATTGGCCCCGATCCAGGAACCCCTGTAACGTTGTATATCTCGCTTAGATGGAGCGTGTGCAGTTTCTAGAGTTTGCCAACTACTATGTTACATTCATCACTTTTCCGAGGGGATCCTCCTGGCATACATCCTCGTATGGCGCAACAGATTCCCCACTTTGGGGAGCAATCGCTAAGAGCTACAAGGCCTGATGAGTTTACCGAGGGAGAGATTTTGTCTAGACACGAGTGAGGTATTTATTTTAGTCAATGGCTCCCAGGGGGTTGGTGATTGGATTGTTTCTCCCTTTGAGACACTGCGGTATGAGGAGATTCGAGATGGACAACTACTACTATTCATTGAAGGAGGAGCAGATTCAATTCTACAAAGAAAAAGGTTATCTGCTTATTGAGGGCTTCCTCAACGAGGCCGAGGTCCAGCTTCTCCAGCAATGGTCCCAGGAGGTTCACGACCTGCCTCGCACTCCTGAAGTGCCGTGGATGCCCTATGAAGTGAGACAGTTCTAGAGTCGACACTGGCCCACTAAAGGAGACAGCAGGAAACTGACATAAAGGACAGGAAGTGAATGCGTATGGACAGAAAGTCCTCTGTCGTACGGAAAACTTCGCCAACAGCCATGCGGGATTCGGTAGCTTCCTGCGAGGCCAACGAGTGTTGAGCGTGCTCGAGCAGCTGGCCACGGAGGAAATGCTTCTCTTTAAAGAAAAGATCAATTACAAGCTTGCAGGAAGCGGTATGCTCCTCCAAACGTTGCAATCTAAACTAGACAATCATTAATACTGCTGTCAGGCGGGTTTGACCCTCACATCGATGCCAACGCATACACTCACGTCAAGGACATCAAGCACCTGACGGTTCTTGCAGCTGTTGACGAAATGAATGCTGAAAATGGCGGCCTGGAAGTGGTTGACGGCAGTCACCTCATGGACATTCCGCTAGGTCGTGATCGTTGCATTGAGCAATCGTGGGTTGAGAGCCACGAGTGGACATCATGTAATCTCAAACCTGGTAAGGTAATTCCACGGATTCGGATATCAACTGCTTACTAGAGCACAAATAGGCGACATCCTCATCTTCGGGTCCTACCTCGCCCACCGAAGCGGCGCGAACAGAAGCACGAAAGACCGAAGAGCCATTTATGCTACTTTCAACCGTAAAGCTGAAGGTGATCTTCATGATCAGTACTACGAAGATCGCAAGAAGCTGTGGCCCGCTACGCACATGCGGAAAGAGGGCGAGTCGTATGAGGAGGGTAGAGCGCGTTATGCATTCGGTTCGCCGATGCTGACTGTCGACGGTCGTGGAGCGGTTGTTATATAGTTCTGTAAATATGAGACAAATGGTCCTCTTGATGATGACTTAGACAGTCAACATACGGACCTGCCCAAGCACAGTAAGAGGATAGCCTGCAATAGACACGGACAGCACAGATATATCACCAAACCCGATAACGCACCTAAGTAGCATTCGAGGAACGTACACAGTCTAAACCGGCCAGCCAGAAAAAGTAGCATAGACGCAAAGATCACACGTGGGCAGCGAGGTCAACCATATAAGTAGCTGCATCCCCAGCTCGTGGCGGGTCACCCTTTTCTACCCGCAGCAGCATCGCACCCTCCTCCCCTACACCCAAGCCAACAAAATGGCCCCATCAACGCCCCTCCAAAAAGCCAACAACCTCATCGCCTGCCTTGAAAAGCACGGCCAAGGGGATTATATAGGCGAATCCATCAGCCAGCTCGAGCACTCTCTCCAAGCCGCCCACCAAGCAAAGAAAGCAGGTTAGTAGTTCACCCAGCGCCCATCGCTAATCCCCAGGTCAACCTGACACCCAAAAAAATGAAAAGGAGCAACCGACGAACTCATCCTCGCCGCACTCCTCCACGACATCGGCCAAATCGTCCCCCTCGATTCCACGCGTGAGATCCAACTCCGCATGCAGACGGCAAACAACAACCAGTCCGTCGGCCGCATCGGCCACGAGACCCTTGGCGCCGAGTACCTCCGCGCGTTGGGTTTCAGCGACACAGTCTGCAGATTAGTCCGGAGCCATGTCCCCGCGAAACGGTGCGTAGGCAAGCAGTTGTCTTGCCATTGCCGTTGCCATTGCAGATCTAGTAGCCGTAATTGCAGGACACTGACATGACAGTCGCAGATATCTCACGGCTGTGGATGGCGCGTACTACGATTCGCTGTCGGCTGCGTCGAAGAAGTCGCTGGAGTTCCAGGGGGGTCCGTTTAGCGGGGCGGAGCTGGCAGCGTTTGAGGCGGATCCGCTGCGCGAGGAGATGGTCAAGTTGAGGCTTTGGGATGATGAGGCTAAGGTTCCGGGGATTGAGGGTTTGACGCCGCGCGCGGGGGAGTATCTGGGGATGATTGTGGGGCATTTGGAGAGGGTGGCAGGAGGTGACTAGCTGTACATGTAGATGGATGATTTGTGAAGCGAATACCGAACATGGTCATGATTAGGGATGTCTTGGTGGTATTGCAGCTTTTTGTAGTCTTGGATCGCCACCTGCTCCGTTGGTCGAGTATATGACTACGGAGGAAAGATGGAGAATGCTCATGATCATGCATGTCGTTGCTCAAAGCATAAGGCTTGTGGTAATTCGTTCATACAAATGGCATAGACAGCATGACGCGTTCATGTAAAACTTCCAACGCAACCTCAAACACGGTGCTCCACGTTCGTCACAGAGATACCAGTTTCCTCAGCCTTCTCGGCTACATTCTCGGGTAGAGTGCCCAGGGCGCGGCCGCCGAAGAGCAAATCAATCTCTTCCAGAGACTTCTGCTTGGTTTCCTTGAAGAAGAAGTAGATGACCGGCAGCGTAATGCAGATGTCTAGACAAGATACAATTAGTCCCTCCCAAGACGATAACACCTTTGTTTGGATAGAGTAGTAAACTTACTCCATGCTACGAAGACAAAGTAGAACTTCCATCCAAGCTTGCCCAGAGCAATGGGAGAGACCTGGGCCCAGAGAGTAGCCACAGCCCAGTTACCGATACCCGTCGCAAAGGCGTTTCCTTTACCACGAATCTGCATAGGCATGACCTCGGACATGTAGACCCTTGATTGCAAAATCAGCTAGCGTCGTCGAAAGTAAAGCGACGAGGATACTTACCAACTGCAAGGGCCAAAGGACAGGGAAAAGATTATAGTCACGCAGAAGAGGAATGCAACACCACCGATACTGTAGCCATGGCGGGTACCATCCTCATTCTGCGAATTCAATGCGGCTTCACAGATCAAGGCAATGGAAATTCCGATAGCGCCAAACATCATGGGCTTGCGCCGTCCTACTCTGTCCAGAATGAAGACGATGAAGAACAAGTTCGCGAGAGGACCTACGCAGTTGTAAATACCGGCAGCTAGCGTGGCTCTGCTCCCCGTGATACCGAGAGCGTTATACATAATTGTTTGATAGTAGCCGATCACGTTGACACCGGTAAATTGAGTGAAGACCTGCACGGCGACACCATGCCTATATGATATAGTTAGCGACGGCGGTAATATCAGGAGGGTTGACGGCCGGGTGGCGGCCGTGGGGAGGGCGTACATTAACCTGGTCCGCCATTGAGGGACTTGAAACATGATGAGCCAGCCAGGCACCGTAACAGCCTTCTCAGCATCAATAGTCGCCTTGATCTCGTTGTATTCGTTCTGAATCCACTCCTCATTGGTACCGTCGTAGTGCAATTTCTTCAAAATCTTCATCGCCTCGTCGTACTTCTCGGTCTCGACCAAGTATCGAGGGGACTCTGGCATGAACAGCATGCCGGCAACGAGAAGCAGAGCAGGGACGGCCTGAAATGCCAAGGGGAATCGCCATTGGAACGAACTCGTGTCTTTTGCGTGAAGTGATCCGTAACCCACCCATCTAGCACATGTCAGCAAACCCTCGATATCACAACGGGCAGACCATCACGTACGTGCTGACGATGAAACCAACACCAATCATCTGTTGCGCCAGTCCAACAATCAACCCACGAGAGCGAGGATGGGCACACTCGGCCTGGTAGACGGGAACGGACATGGACATGAGACCGACAGCCCATCCTGCCAGGATACGGCCGACGAGAATCATGGCCAGGTTCCTTGCCGAAGCCTGAAGAATAGCACCGACGAGACAGATAAGAGCACCCATCTGGATGGTGAATTTACGCCCGAACCGATCCATCGTCAGACCTCCCTGAAGGGCTCCAATGGCGGCTATCGCAGTCATCCGTCGGTGAGTGAGCAGAACTGCAGCAGGGAAAGGGAAGACCTACCGCCTCCATTGAATGTACTGTTAATGGCACCGATAATGTTGGAGGTCGGGGTGGTGTTGAAGAAGGCGAGGAAATTAGGACTCGCGATAACATCGGTCATCACACCGGCATCGTATCCTTTTAATAAGCGACTTAGCCAGAAATCTCGGATAGAGTGGATGTAAAAATGTGTGATTTTGCAACTGCGAAGGAGACAAAGGCGTCTCGAACTCCACAATTCACACAAAAAAGCGGTCGAAAAGTATCTTTGCTGAACCTACCAAAGAGAAACGATCCAGTAGCTGCAAAAGCAGCCAGGCTGATGGTGAAAAGGCGGCCCATTTTGCTACACTCAAAGACAGCAATACTACGGACCAGCAAGAAGCGGAGTGAACCTGGGGAGCAAAACCGGCTGGCCATCAGGGGAGCAAGCCATCTCTATATAAGATTTAGCTTCAGCCATTTGCAACGAGCCATCGAATAGTGAAAAGGCTTGTGTCGCTGGCACCAACGAAAATAGCGAGAGGCCATCGAAGCGATCCATGCCAACTTGAGAGCGCGGCGAAGGGCAAGCGGGGAGAGAACCTCCAGATCCGGGGATTGTGGGTTAAAGATCCAAGCTAAGACTCTCAGCAACCGACAATTCAGCCGGACAGTCCACTCGAGGCATTCGCTTGCTGCTCAGACACTCTTGCGGCTGGGAAGAATGATGTGGTGTGATTGGTGCAATAAATAAAAGTGAGACTAACATCTGACATTTATCCTCCCGTGTTCCTATTGATCGAACAACCATGCCCAAGCCAGGTATATCAAGGAGATTTCTCCGTCCAGACTATCATCGACCAAGCCAAGCAACCACATGTTCTCAAGGCTGGCGTTTGCCATTATCACTTTACAGCCGACACCGGCGGCATGACCTAGTTTTGGCTTTGGTCCTACTTGGACAATGCTCATCCAGTTGATTCGATTCTGTACTCCCTGGCTACGGAGAAAGCAGAGAGATCCGCTCAGCGGCTGATCAAGCCGAAATTCTAGTTGTGAAAGAGCAAGGAGAGGCTTCGGTTAGTATAGTACGTAGACGGATTTTGAAAATCATTTAACCGCCGCCATCCCCTAACCAGAGTGGTTCAGGTTCCCGGTTCCTCTCTGATAGACAATCTAGAAACTAGGTCTTACTAGGTAAGAGCTGAGCACCAAACAAGGCCAAGTCATGTGGTCCAGGGCCCTTTCAGTCATGCATATCACGTGACTAGAGCTGCCCGAGTATGCACGTGACAACGCGTCGAGCGCGTTGGCCGACTTTCCGCGCCAAACACGCTCAGCTTTCCACCTGGCGTAACTTGTGACGGAAAGCCTCGTCAATGGAAATGCCACGGCAGTAAGAAAAAATGAGCACTAGATCAGCTGGTCACCCATTTGAATGCGCTTCTAGGCAATGCCCATTCATAAAAGCTGAAGCCCATCGGGTCCAATTGGTAGCATACCACTCCTTACTGTGGTGTCCTTTCCTCGGTCTTCTACGCAGTGTAATAAGACAACGTCGTGATCCCACTACCTCAATGTCTTATGCACCCGACGTTGATACTGTAATGCAGAGTCCGTAGGCAATACGTCAGCTCATCAAGCAACTGGACGAGTGGAAATCTCACACGTAACAATCTGTCAACTGTAAGGCTGTGATGGATAACCCCTCACTGATGCAATAGGCTTGTGTATAGAACTAGAGGTTCAATACCTTATCAGCCTGCGCATTCTTCATGTTGACAACCAAGGATCAATTGGGCCCAAATCAGGACCTTTGGAATCTGTCGATGCCAAAACGCACCTCGTGCGGGCGGGCTGGATCGGCCGGAGTACCAAGCGGGCGTATAGTAAGGTACCTTGGGACTAGTTTACGGCCGTACTACAACGCCTCCACGCTGTGCAGTCCGCGTCCACATCGCGACGCGATTAGATGGAGCGCTTTTTTCCCACCGCACCACTAAGAGATCTAGTCCACTCCGGATCTCTCATCCAATTTCCAATTCTCCTCCATATCAATGTTCTGATCCTTTGTATTTTACGGCTCTCTTTTCCGTTACTGCTCTTATATTGGCTTCCAATTCCCCATGCCACACCGATCTTGAATCCTATCCACCGGTTGCTGTGTTGAGAACATGTCGGATCCTGAGCGTTCTGCTGCGGCATGTTCCTCCTCCCCGCCAACCGTACAGACTCCTGAATCTTCTACTTTGAACTATGCCTTCCTCGTGCACTCCCAGAAGACCCTCACCCAGAACCTTCCCCCGCGAGTCGACAACAAGCTGCTCGCTCGTCAGAAGCGCCGTCGGACAAGGTATACATGAGCTCAATTCGAATCCGAAGTCGTCAAATGCCATTGACTGGCTCTGCTCGAGTCATCTCCGCTAATTGCTGTCCAATTGTTGCCGTATAGTCCCGAGGACCACGCGATTCTCGAAGCCGAATATCAACGCAATCCCAAACCAGACAAGACAGCGCGCGCTAGCATTGTGAGTCGCGTCTCGTTGGGAGAGAAGGAAGTGCAGGTATGGTCTCGAGAACAAGCACGACGCGTCGGCGTACACTTTCAGTTCTGATCATGCAACGCTCCAGATCTGGTTCCAAAATCGTCGTCAGAATGACCGGCGAAAGTCTAAACCCCTCCAGCCACACGAACTTCTCGCACCTCGATCGGAGGTGTCTAGCCCTCTAAGACAAACTACAAGCGATGACAACCCCTCTGCGGAGCCAGGATCATCGAGTGGGGGAGAACAGTACGATGGACGGGAACAAGACAGAGATTTTGCAGAGCTGCCTTTGGAAGATGGCGTGCCGCAGTCTTCCTATGAGTCAGTAGAAAGTGGAGACAAGGACGATACGGCACAGCTCAGTTTGAGCTCGCAGACAAGCCTGTCGTCGCAGTCAAGCGAAAACAGTCAAGAGCTCCATAGGACCATTCCGGACACAACGTCGACTCAGCAAGATAACGACACGCCACTTGATGACACGCAGCTCTCTGCCAAGAGAAAGCGTTCCATTTCAGACATACGCGGAGATGTCCCAACGACACTTCAGCAGCAGCAGCAAACTCCTAGCGGCCTACAGGTTCTGAAGTCGCCACCATCCCTACGTCTGTCACTGTCCTTTGACGGAGAGGCAATGGTACGAAGAGAAGGCGAGTTGACACCCTCTCCCCCGAAAGGGCGCAACTCTCTCCGGATCGCCATGTCTTCGGATGGCAAAGCTGTCATCCGTACAGAAGATGAGCCATCCCCGTCCAAAGGCCGCATTTCCATGTTTTCCACAAGGAGCTCCCGATTCACAGGGTTGCGTAGAAGCAGTAGTGCAGTGGTCCTTGGCACACCTCGGGCTGGCACCATAGAGAAGGAGAAAGCCTTCGGGAGATCTCGAGACCCTCGGAACTGGGAATCATTTTTCGACACTGACGCAAGAAGCGCTTTGTCAACTCCAGTCAGCTCTCAGAGTGCTCCTAACTCTGCCTCCCCTAACCTCATGCCTGCCCCTGGTCAGCGTTCATTGACCCGAAGCTTATCAGCAAGACACACTAATCTGTCAACTTCGACCACCAACGATTACCTCAACACTCCGATTCCACAGCATGCTGGTGACAAGCGACGGAAACTCTCGCGTACAGTCTCCTCTCTAGGCCGACTTGAGTCTGGTCATGGCAATCTCAACAGAACACCATCGGGCACATATAAGATTTCCAAACTCCGTGATACCATGAAAGACAAGGATGATTTGGATATCGAATGCGGCGACTCGGACAAAGAGAACTGGATTCCTGGGACCCGAGTCTCACATGTTCGGCGGCGAGCCGCCTCCCATCATCAGTCTCAGCGCCCGGTGCTCAAAGAAGCCAATGGACGAGATGGCAGGATAAACAGGGGTCCAGGCAGACGTTCCCGAATTCCTCAACCATCGCATCGCAAAAGCATCAAGTCCATGCCAGAGCTTGATGCGGGTGTTTCAGCTTTCATGGCAGGCGGAGGAGTTGCAAGCCAAGAAGAAGACCTTGACTGTGTTCAAGGTCTATTATCCTTGAGCCAAGGCGCTTGGAGGTAGACTTCATATCCCTCCTTGACATTGTCTCTATGATACCATTGATTTCCTTTGTTCCTTTTCTTTTGTCCTATACTTCTTGACGTTCCTTTCTGCTCATGTTGGATGTCGCAAGCAAGCTAGGAGTGGTTCCATGTATGATGGGGGAGCGAGGCTCATCTTGTAATGATTGAACTTTCTTTGCTTTGCGGACATAAGCCTCGGTTGTACGGAACATACACCTTGCCCCTTGGAGGCTGTGGCCACTTGTTTGTGTTGACCACGATGATGATGAAACCCTTGTCATAAGATAGCCAGGCCATATTGATGTCAGACAAGTTGTCTCACTAATCAGGCGACGAGAACGAATATAAATACTTCAATAGAACACCAATCCGTAGACTAGTAAATTATTCCGATCTATGTTGAATGCTGAGGGGAGGTTGAAATTGACAACTCCTGGCGGCAAGAAGAATGCAGGATGGACGCACGTGGTCCGCCGGCTGACTGATAAGGAATGCATCAAAGCGTTTGTGTTTCGTTTACCTAGCTCCGTCTCACTTTGATATATCAGCAAGTTGTCTTCATTCCTGAGCTTTCTAAGGCAAAAGGCTCGAGGATCTGGACAAGTAGGTGTTATATATTCTAGAGGTAAGTTTGTATGATTCGTGCTTTGATTTATGCTCGTATTCTTCAGGACATGGTGTCTCCGCTTTTGAGTGAGCTTGTGAACTGTCCTAGCCCATACAACAGCGTTTATGTTTCCAATACTGATCAGTTGAACTCTTTTGGATGATTGAGAGTGTCATTCGCTGCTTTTCTTGTTTCATACTGCTTACGTTGTGTTCTTCGATTTCGGTCTGAGCGCGTGCAGGCCTCCACCTTGTATACGATCTACTATTGTTTATGCAAGAGGAGCATCAGCATTCTTCCCCGGCTAATTGTATCTATCAGAGGACTGTACTGACCGCGAACTGACAGAGTCCCTATCCCCAGACTGTTCCTACCAAGAACATTGCAATATCTGAACGTCAGAGCAGTTTGTTGCCACATCGTATTGCCACAATGGGCGGAGGCCTCAACGTGGCTATTGTCGGAGCTGGCTTCGCTGGCTTACGTTGTGCTGATATACTAGTCCAGAATGGTGCTCAAGTTACCATCTTTGAGGCAAGAGATCGGCTGGGAGGGCGGGTGCGTTCACAACCACATTGACCACCGCGAATCAGTTACTGAATTCAAACAGGTTCATCAAACAAAGATCGGAGATCATCTTATAGACTTGTGAGATGTCCGAACCCGCCTGGATCGGAAGAAGCTAAGTTAACTTGTGGAAAGGGGCCCTAACTGGATTCATGGTACGGAGAAGAATCCGATCGCTGGCGTGGCAGAAGTGACCGGAACGACTATCGAGGATTTTGAAGGCGAGCAGATCATTTTCTCCAGAGACGGAAAGCTCGTCGATGAGGCCACCTCGACCAGGATCTCTGAGTTCTTATGGAGTACGATAGACGAAGCCTTTGAATATAGCAATGCGCACAAGGACTCCATTCCCCCCGATCGAAGTCTGCTTGACTTCTTTAAAGAGAGAGTTAGCAAAACGGGCTTAAGCCCTGAGGAAAAGGAACTCTGTATAGAGACATGCAAGCTGTGGGGAGCATACGTTGGTGACTCTATTGAGAGACAGAGTCTCAAGTTCTTCTGCCTCGAAGAATGTATAGACGGGAGTACGCGCCACATCTTCTCTATGGCTGCTATTTGCTGACAACACATCGCTAGACAACTTCTTCATCGCATCTACATACAAGAAGATCCTGGACTACGTTTCCAAAGCAGCCACCCAACACGCCGACATCCGCCTCAACCAGCCGATCATCAAAATTGAAACGGACTTCCGAGAGAACTCGAGCGCCGCTCGCAGGGTGATATTGACAAGCGCAGCCGGTGAAACTCACCAATTCGACGAAGTAGTAGTGACCTGCCCCCTCGGCTGGCTGAAACGCAACAAGTCCGCCTTCCACCCAGCACTACCCCCTCGACACCTCCAGGCCATCGACAGCATCTCCTACGGCCGACTTGAGAAGGTGTACGTGACATTCCCACGACCCTTCTGGCACGCAGACGCCGAAGCCGGGCTGAACGGCCCGGACCCCAAAGGCACCGCTCACCACAATCCCACCTTTGCGGTTTTCCACGACCCAACCTACGCCGAGCACCCCGAAGGCATCCTCTGGAATCAAGAGTGTATATCGTTTGCCGGTCTCCCCGCCGACTGCGCTCACCCCAGCCTCCTCTTCTACACCTACGGCCCCTGCGCAACATATATCGTCTCCAAGATCGCGAATCTCGATCCCGCCTCGGACGAATACTACGCGTTCCTCGACGGCTTCCTGCGCCCGTTCTACTCTCGCCTGCACGGGTACTCGCCCTCCTCAGCTGACTGCAAACCCCTTGCCTTCGTAGCTACCCAGTGGCAGAACGACCCCTACGCGGGGAACGGCTCCTACTGCAACTTCCAGGTGGGCCTTGAGCAGGGCGACAAGCACATCGAGGCGCTGCGGGGCGATATCGGCCCCGAGCGCGGGGTCTGGTTTGCGGGCGAGCACACGGCGCCCTTTGTGGCGCTTGGGACGAGTACTGGGGCGTACTGGAGCGGGGAGCGGGCGGCTGGGGAGATATGCCAATTTCATGGGCTGGGTAGATTGGGGATTGGTGCAGGAAGGGACGATTCGCTTCCTTCGGCTGTGTTGAGGAAGATTGCGTCGTCTAATTGAGGTGCAGATGGTTGGATATTCGAGATTTTGGGACTGTCGGGGACGCCGTGCTGATTGACATCTCAAGTATATAGTAGGCAGTGAGTTGCTGCACTTTTGTTTTGTTCATACTTCTCATTTGTTTTTAAGTTCAAGATGCACATAATAACGATCAATATTTGGATTCGAGCAAGTATTTACGAAGAGACACTTGTGATGACCAGCATCCAAAAACACACAGCCATCCCATACCTGCAACCCAGCAAAAGAAAGATGCACTGCAAATAGGGGAATCAAAAGAACAGTCTTAGCCACAGTAAGGAGCCAAAGAAAAAGACGCTCAAAAAAGCCGGCTGAACACCTCGCATAATCAATCACAATAGCCTACGCCCCAATATGAAGGACTGAGAGCATCGCCGGACCAGCGTGATACCCGAACCGCACCTTCCCAGACACACAGGCAAGCGAACAACCGAGGTACCATACAGTAAACAGAACAAATAACAATCTGGGTATTCACAAACTCCTCGTACGAGCGTCAAAGAAAAGCAATATTCCGGATTTCGTGTAGAGTCCCGAACCAAGCAAGCGTATGATACAGTGTGTAAGGCTGGTTATGTGAGTGTTTAGTCAAGTTGGCAAGAGAGAAGGGATAGAGCAATCATGTGTAGGACAGAGCTGCCGGACAAAGCTTGCCCTCGACACCAGCTTCTCCCAGCTGTTTGAAGTTGCGTTCAATCGCGACAAGCGAGTGGTTCAGATACCTCACTCAGCATTCAAGATCCGAGTCTCCAAAGCCCACGACGTATGAGCTCGAGGCAGCAGGTCACGGCGTCTGAAAGGATATCGACAAAAACAACTATTCCTCGGATCAATCTTCCCATATCGTTTCGAGGTCAAGATCCTGCCGACGTTCCGCCCCACAGACACTCCAGCGCTTCCTCTTGTCAATTCTCGCCCCGTAGACTCCTAAGCCGCCTCGCATAGACCCAGAAGAACCCGCAGGACTCGAGGCATCAGATATACCACGGCGCCTGTTCCCGTTGGCTGCCGCTTCCGCTTCATCCGCCCTATCTGCGGCAGCCTTGAGTGCTGCAATTCGGTCGGCTTCGATGGCCGCATCCTCGGCATCAGGAATATCTGGGATAGTCTCGAGAGAGGATATGCTCGGACTGCGCGATCGGAGGCTTGTAGGAGTCGATGGTACTGACGACGTAGAGGAAGTCGAGTATCCCGGGAAGGCTTCGTTGAATTTTGAGCCGAGGACCACTGGTGACGAATGGATCGAAGAAGGACTGCTAGTAGGCTGGGTGGTCGAGTTCGCGTTGGGGAAGTGAAGGGGCGATGATGGTCGTCGGCGCCCGACACGCAGGTTGTGTGATAAAATGGGAGACGTGATCGAGGATTCCCCATGTGGTGGTGATTTCATGGTTGTATCAAGTTCAGCGTGCTCTGAGATCGTTTCTGAAATGTTCAGAGGCGCCATCCTGGCATCGAGGGAGTCCCCCGAAGGTATCTGCAGAGGTAGATACCGTCTGGGAGTGTTATCATTGTAATTCGAGGGCGCCTCGCGACCATTGACGAAGATATATCGCCCTCTGGAGTCCAGTCCAGGGGACGAGTGAGCGCGCGTCATTGGAGGGACACCCGAGACCTCCGCCAACGACCGCGAACGATAATGGGAGCGGGGGAAAGGCGAGCGACTCGGTGGAGCGACCGGAGGATCGGGGGTAAGGGACAAGGTTATCATGACGTTGTCGGAGCGCTCTGACTTCCCAGGAGCCCCAGTAATCGCATTCGCGGAGCTTGCCGTGCTGACTGGTTCGATTTCGACCCTTCTCGCAGCGCGGGGCGGAAGAATGCGCCCCTCTGGGGAAAGACGGGACGCTTCCATGTCTGTCTGAAAACAGAAATGCAACAGTAAAAATCTGCCTTTCGAAACGCTAGGTCGGCCTCATGCTTGACTGTGTACGGGAACCATGAGAGTGAATCGATCCAAGGTGGTCCAGATTCTCGAGACCAAAAAAGGAAAAAGGATACGGAGTCTTGCCGAAATCGATTATGCCCCTGGAGATATTATCCTCCAACAAGACCCTCCAACGGTTGGTCGTATGGACGACCCAGGGGAGAATGGAAATCTGGTATGCGAAAGCAAAAGCGGGATTGATGGGAGATGTAGAGTTGAGTGGTGAGATTGAAGGAACTGGCAGAAGTAGAAGCAGCAGAAGAAGAAGAGCAGCCAAACGCGCGGCGTGATCAATCGGTCGGAGAAGAGCGGACAGAAGGAGGAGGAAAGAGAGGGAAACCACCCGACGGACGACTCGTGATAGCAATAGCAGTGACGATGTGCGAATCAAGAAGAATATGTAGCTTTTCAGGTGGAAAGAAATTTCTTTTCGCTTTCTCTCCTTGCGAATCATTCATGCCCAAAATTTCACTCGTTTGTTCTGGTCGCTTGAGTATGGCCAATCCGTGATCTGTGCTCCTCAGCCAGGGGCACGCTTCTTCGGAAAAAAGGCGACTGCAAATCCCTCCCTAGCCAGCGATTTATCAGCCTGATAGGGCACATATTTCCTAGGATTGCATGCAATAATGCGCAGGGTTTGGCAGAGAATCTACAATCTTGCTGGGACCAGTAGAGAGAAAGAGTCTGACTCTGGCCGCATCAAGGCGTCTCCCATTTCCTCTACCTATTACACCTTGTCAATAGTTTCTGAGCAAGAACAGACGGCGAAATCTGCTTTAATGAAGACGATTGCAACTTTTCCTGTCTAAAGACTTGATTAGTCGAAGCTGGCTTTGAATCCCTTACTCTGAACTTAGAGGACGGGAAGCCTGTTGTAAGGAGCTACTGATGATCAACTACTCAGTGATGAACACTCGGCGCATACACGGCTAGCTGATGTACGAAGTCAGTAAGTAGATTTATGAGACTAACCAACATCTTGAATATCAGAGGCTGATCATTCAACTAACACGGTGACAACTATTCGGCCTGGGAGGGACTATTGTGAGAAGGCAATAAGATGAGCGAGGCAGTAGACTACGACCTTGAATCCTTGATCAGGCATGTGCCTCTCTGCACATCTTCGACACACTCTTGCGGACGTACACTTCGCGTACAGGATCCCCTTCGTGGTCTTCAACTACCCATTCCCCAATGCCGTATTCCTCTGGAGCTCGTTTGACACCGCGTCCGCCTCCGCCAACGATTAGATTGCCCGGTCGGTACTTGGGATCGGCCTTCAGGCGGCGGATGGCTGAGATATGGATTTGAGCATCGTTGGGAATATCTCGCACCTCTCCACAGGGAAGAGGCCACCGGATTGGCTTCCAAGAGCCGTCGCTCTGCAGATCCATGCGGCGGAATGGAAGATACTCCATGATCCGCCACGACAACACTGAAAAGAACGGCAGCCCATTGCCGTAAGCCAAGCAATCATGCAGGTGTCCTTTCGTGCTGGACTCGTACAGCGCTTCCAAAAATCTGCGCTTGGATTTAGACATGTTCTGTTCATCCTCCTTTCGGGCGAATCTCCTGTGCTCATCATTATCTTCTCCATGGCTGGGATCTTGACACATGTCCATATTCTGCTTCCAAGGGATATGTTCACGCAAAGGCGAAACCTCCCCATCATACTCCTCGCTGCATTCGAACTGTTTGAGCTTGCGTGGGTCAAACTGAAGGCCCGCGCGCTTCGCCTCGTGTACCATCCAGACCAGAGGTGCATGACTCAGAGGCCATTCTTCGCCTTCACCAAGTTTCCAACCTCCGCCGATGTCCGCGTGTCCGCCGGGAAACCAGACTTCTTGAATGTCCTGAGGGCGTTCATCTTCGTCATCTTCATCGTACTCGCTAGGAGCGCGACTCCCTGCTTCCGGCACCTGAAGCGAAAGTATTGAGTTACCACTCTTGATCGATGCTAAGTCTTCTGTAGATTGGTTAAGCATAGGTACAGCTAACCCGAGTTTCTTGCTCTTCAACCGTGAGGGTGAACGATAATGATGTGCACTGCGAATGCTTCCGGCACGCGATCCATCTGCACTACGGTAGACGGATTCAGTTTCTTCCCGGTCCTTTCGGCCTTTTGCCGCGCCTTGCGGCCCCGTCTCCACCTTGGCGTTGTCGTTCACGACAATGGATGGTAGACCATTCGGTTTCTCCGACTCGGGATCCTCATCATGGCGGAAGGGGTGAAGGTGTCGCTGCCAGCGACGAGGACCTCGTTTCTTCATGGACCAGGGTTTGGCCTCGGAGATGAGATCCTGTCGAAATTTAGCGCGCCGTTCGTCAATGCCTACGGCGTGTCGGATAACCCTGGCAGAGCTGCGAGCAGTGTACGGAAATTTGCTTCTCTGCATCCAGGCTGACTCGAACCTCGGCACGCTGTTGACCGTGTCGAATAGGCCCATGAATTTGATGCGACTGATAGGTCTGCTGAAGGTTTCACGGAAAGCCTTCATGAATCGGAACAATTTTTTCTGCTCCTCCTTTTCCTCTTCACTATCCCCGCGTCGACGCTGTTGCCATTTGGCAAATGTCTTCCATGCGAACCTAGTCAGCTCCTCATTTCCCGCTTCGAGCAAGCCAATATAATCAAGCATCTCCGCCAGAAAGCGCGCGATATAGGCACCGCGACTGAAACCAATAAAGTAAATCTCGTCGCCCGGGGCATAGTATCTCATGAGGAATTTATAACCACCCATGACATGGTGGTCGAAGGAGGAACCCACGGCGGAGTCCTTAGCTTTCAGGTAGGCCGACTTGATCCGGTGGAATCGCCCATTACTGGAAAGGGAGGTGGTTGTCACGTAGGTGCCAATACCTGGCTGGTAATAATGGAACTGGTGACTCTTACTGCGATCTAGCATCTTCACCCACGAACCCTCTGTAAGCCGACACGTTGACAAACTACATACGGCCTCGGGTACGACTCACTCGGTAGATCTTGAGCACGTTGCTGTCCGATTCATCACCGCAAAACTTATTACCAGTACCATCAAAACAGAGGACAAACTGCTTTGGGATGGGGGCCGGCCCCAGCGGTACTGCGTCCATGTTTCCGCGCAGCTATGTCAGAACACTTCGATGCTCCCTGCGCGTTCACTTGGTTGACTGTGAAATCGAAAAGCAAGAACAATTGGAACAAACGACAGACTAATCCCCGCTTCGTGAGCTTATATATACAGGCTGTTAGTTCCGGAGATACCCACATGCAACTGCAGGAAATAGTTGCTTGGCTCGCACGATATAGTGTGATACCAGCATCCGGGATTGGGCTTAGACGCGAGAGCGAACGGACTTTTCTTTTAGAAGACAGCAAGCAGTTACAAATCTATGGTAACACAGTCATCGACATCACAGGAAAGAAAAGTGTCCAGATGGGACTATCGCTGCAGGCTATGGCGGCCAGCCATCGCCTGGAGCTAAGCAATAAGGGAAGCTCATTCCTCCCACGCGGACCAACAAGGAGGGGTAGATAAAGTGAGCGGTCCACTCGACGCATTCTTTCATGATTGAACCAAGCCGGTTCACCGCGCTGAACAGCGAGACATGAGAGCGAACAGAACTCTTGTTGGTCAAAGCAGCAGTGGTGTGGGGCATTTATTCAATGTCACAAGTTCAAGTGTTCAACTCACTCCCCGAGTATACTAGACTCCGCGGCAAGCGGCTTGAAGACCGGCGGGCACACAAAACACAAATTCTGTGTCGTATTAGAGCCTATCATGCGGTCCGTAATGTGATTCTATATACATCCACATGTCAGATTCGTCAAAGATAGCATGATTGGAAAATATAATCGAGTATCTTCCATCCGCACGAGGCCATATCTCGCCCTACTTTGATGTTGATCGCCTGGGAAGATGGTGTTGACGATCGAGGTGGCAAGTAATCGTGAACAGGACTTGGGCCATTAGCACGACAATGTCTGTGATATTACCTGAAGGAATTTTCATTTTCGATGTGAGAAAGGGAAAATCCATGTGGTCCAGGTGTGCAATGGATCGATTTTCCATCAAGACGCAGTAGGCGATGACGATCTTTCCCCATTGATACCATCTGGGTGGAGATTACCGAGACCATGGCTGGCTGTCCCAGTCATTCATGGCCTAGTAGCATTTAGCCAGGCACAATAAGGGCAACAATAGTTTCATGCAGGAGTGCGGAAAGAGGAGAAAAGGTCCCCGCCGTCTGAAAGCGAGAGTCAAAGGGGTCAATCAAACCTACAGAGTACCAAATGGCTGGCTGATGATCCCGGACGGAATACTTTGTCTGTTGGCAGGCAATCAAAGCATGCGTGCTGCTGTTTCGGTCGCATTATTTTATGGAATGTACTTTTGAGCAATTCACCACCCATTAGTCCTTGATTAAAACCTAAATACGTACTCTATTTTGTAGATATTTCTAAATTCGAAATCTTTTTCTTTTTTCTTTAACTTCTCAGTCTGATCGCAGGAGAGTACCTTATGGAGTATCTATGACCTTTCCGATGGGACACTGACTCTGGCAGCTTCAGAACCTTGGAACCTAAGGTGTCTCCGTCGGAGTGGGGGTCTGGGCTGCCTGGGGCCGGCCATGAACCATTCGGGAGCTGCCGATCGTCTCTCCTTGATCCACTAAGACGGGCTGGGCAGGAGGGTTCGTCCAGCTCTCCTCATACGGCGGTATGGCCTCGGTCACTCAGATCTCAAACGAACCTCATCACAAAAGTAAGGATCCGTTATACTTTTTTTTTTTTTTATTCTTCACCACGTTATCATCATCATGAAGTGTCCAACCTATTTCTATTATATAAACAAAAGTACATATGAGATTGTCTGGGCTTTGGTCCGTGTTTTGCCAGTAAGTTACTCCCCTTACAGGACAGAGCACAAACCTACCGTACCCCTCTGTCTTGTTACTGTATTTTCTAAACGCAAGCCACGAACTGCGTATCTTACCAACTATCTGCCTAAGATATTCTATGTTGCTGATCATCCACTAGCTTGTCTTCACGGAAGGCGAAGCAGATACCCTTGGACAAAGAGGCGCTTTTATCACCCACTCCTCGGGCTTCAGGATCCTCTATCAGTCGCACTGACACAGTCGAATTCCTACAACAAATCCCTTGAGCTMTTACTCATAATACTACAACTAACCGTGTCGCATTAGAACTGTGGTCGGCGAGAAAATCTTTTATTTCCAGAATCCCTTACTTTCCAGGACAAGGGACGGGGAGTGACAGGCATATTACTAAATCTTCCTACTGAGTGGCTGAGAGGCATAACCAATTGAGTACGTAGGTATTGATGTCTGTCAGCTATCCATGTAACTGCAGGCCATCCCTGGTAGGCAGCGTGACGAGTGAAATGGTGGTGATCCCGTGTTGCGATCGTGTGGGTACCTCAGACTACTTAGTATTCACACTAGTAGCTCTGTTAGTTGTGACTAGTCCAGTCATGGTCTGTCCCAAATGAGAGTTCTGACTCCACTAAAAATTTCGGGTGTGGGTAGTCGATCCGATTTCGATTTCATTTCCGATCACCACTGACAAGAAATCTGCTGGAACCTGTTTTCCTGCGTCAATTTCATTATTCTTATTGTATAAAACTCATCATGACCAATCCCTAGATTCCAATCTGTCTCAACCTGCTCGGTAGGTTCCATCTTCCCTTACATTCAGTAAAAGCTGGTGAGGAGGAGGTTCACCCACATCGTGATGTCAGTGCGCTATGAACAATGTAACCACACTCAGCACTGAGCGTGCGTGTCTCGAAATCGAATCATACTTGACGGACGGATACTACCAGATATTTCATACCACATCTGGCTACCAATAATAACTCTATATTACAGTATTGTACTTCAAGCTTGCGCCGGATAGATACAGCTCCCACGGGTGTGAAATCCATTGGCAATGGGCGGTCGAGGTGGAGCAGACAGCAGTGAGCTGAGAGCAGAACCCCGTCAAAGTTCTGAGCTCCAGCTTTGGCGTTTATCATCTTGGCACCAATCTACGTCGTACTACGGCCGACAATCGCAATCATCTGAATGATAATCGCGAACATTGTGGCTGGCACCAGGAGCCGACGATCTGCTGTATAAAAAAGACTATGAGGAAAGTCAGTAATGCATGGACCTCGTTGATTGGCTGCGAGTCGTCTTGCACTCTTGTTGCTTCGGTTTTCCCCCATGCTTTCCTCCGAGGCCTCGTTATGCAGCTTCTCCATGGAATCTCCGTTATTATTGGCAATTATCAGGACGGACTGACCTGTGGTATTTTGTAAATTATCACCACCTACACTCGACCGCTTGCGGAATCCGGCTTCTTGAGTCTTGTCATTGGTACCAAACACTACGTAACATTATGAATCATAGATCCCATGCGAAATCACACTCATCGATTCGAGCCCCGGCGGCGGCAGGCTGTCAAAGAGATGCACTAACTCGTCACCTTGGTCCACATCCCTAGGTTCTCTTTGGTACACGGATCAAGGATATCCACTCTTTCTAGCAAAGATGTTCAGCAGGCTATTTGCCATCTGCTTGTCCCTGCGGGGTATGCGCTTGTGAGTATTACCATTTGATGGCCTAGTCTACTAAGTTCTGAATATGGCTTAGATGGCGGTACCACAATTTGATTCCTCTAGACCTCTCACTGCTCCTAGTCCAATTGATGCTCTCAATTGCAATTAGTGGATCGAATCCGCTCTGCTTGCTACGTAAATACACCATGTTCACCGCGTGGATCTGCTTTTAAATACATGGTTCCTTCCGAGTAGGTGGGCTGGAGCTCTGTTTCCCTGCTCTTACTTTTCTATCTCCTCGTCCTTGCCCCTCTTTGTTGTAGTTTCTTTCTTGCCTCCTTCACTGTGGTTCAGTTGATTCAATTCATACATAATTATCATAATGTTGCGGAGGTTCTCGTCGACCTTCAAGAAGAAGGGGGACCGCGAGTCCAAGCAGAATGGCACTGCGCCCAGCAGCAGCACCGCCGCCAACAACAGCAACAACAACGACAACAAGCGTCACTCCAAAAACGCTGCGGCGCACAAATCATCATCTGATGACGATCGTAGTGAGAAGAAGGGCGATTCCGTCTCTCCTTTTGAGAAATATGCATCCGTCCTCCATGCTTCGCGATCTCCCATTCCCAACCAGACTGGGGATGGCGCCTACCTCGAGCACGAACATACGACCAGCTTATTGCAGGATGCCAGGCATCTAGGCTTTAAGGATTTCAAGACCCTGAAGGAAGTCATCGAGAGCAAACTTCCGGGGGCCCAGCTGGTAGATGATAAGACCATGTTAATGGAGCGCATTATCCAGGTAAGATGGCCCGCTTATGACACAAGTCGACTGATCCAAAATACTGAAACTATATTCTTCGGTTCGTAGCTGGTCAGCAGACTTCCTCACAACTCAAAGCATCGCGAGGAGCTGACAAACGCCTTCCTTACTGAGTTGTGGGATTCGCTGCCTCACCCTCCGCTCTCGTGAGTTCGCGGACAACTTTCATTACTTGGTGGCGTTTGCTAAAAAGTAATAATCAGATATATGGGAAATGACTATGCCTACCGCTCTGCAGATGGTTCCAACAATAACCCTACGCTCCCGTGGCTCGGAGCTGCGAACACCCCATATGCTCGGACGACCGCACCATTGATCATTCAGCCTGGTGGATTGCCTGACCCTGGCTTAGTCTTTGACACCCTCTTCGCTCGTCAGACCTTCAAGCCGCATCCAAACAAGGTGTCCAGTGTTTTCTTTGACTGGGCATCTCTCATTATCCACGGTAAGCTGCCCGAAACATTATGAGGTCGGTGAAAGATTCTGATGAGAAAGCAGATATCTTCCAGACCGACTATAAAAACCCTAACTTGAACAAGACCTCTGGTTATCTCGACCTCTCCATCTTGTACGGTGACGTTCAGGAGGACCAGAACCTGGTCCGGACGTTCAAGGACGGGAAGTTGAAGCCCGACAGCTTCGCCGAGCCCCGTCTTCAGGCGTTCCCGGCCACGTGCAGTGTCCTAATGGTTATGCTCAACAGGTACATCTCCAACACTGATGCTTGGGAGCATTGGCTAATTTGAACCATTGTTAGATTCCATAACTATGTTGTGGAACAACTAGCTGCAATCAACGAAAACGGCCGCTTTACCACGCCCGCGGATAATCTCCCGGAGAAAGAGGCTAATGAGGCCTGGGCGAAGTACGACGAGGACCTCTTCCAGACAGGTCGACTGTACGCAAGCCTTTCCTCTGATCCTCTGTTATCGTGCGGTACCCCAGGCTAACGAATTACAGCATTACCTGCGGTCTTTATATCAACATCACTCTGTATGATTACCTGCGGACGATTGTCAACCTGAATAGAACTAATTCGACTTGGTGCCTTGTAAGTTGGCGCAGCTGGATACCATGCAAAGCAGAAAACTAAACGTGAACAGGATCCCCGGTCTCAAATGGAGGGAGGCCACCCTACGCCAGCAGGTTTGGGTAATCAGTGCTCCGTGGAGTTCAACCTGGCATACCGCTGGCACTCAGCTATTAGCGCCACCGATGAGAAGTGGACTGAAGAAGTCTATGAGAAGCTGATGGGAAAGCCCGCCTCGGAAGTCTCGATGACAGAGCTTCTCATGGGTCTAGGCAAGTATCAGGCGGAACTGCCCAAGGATCCATCCAAGCGCACATTCGCCGGTCTGGAACGTCAAGCCGATGGAACATTCAAGGACGAGGACCTCGTCAACCTTTTAGTCAACGCTGTCGAGGACGTTGCTGGTGAGTCTGACAAACACCTCCGAGTCAAGAAGCCGTGACTAACAGGAGCGTTCTGCATCAAAGGCTCTTTCGGCGCACGGAACGTTCCAAAGGTCCTGAAGAACGTTGAAATCTTGGGCATCATCCAGAGCCGGAAGTGGAATGTGGGCTCACTCAACGAGTTCCGAAAGTTCTTCAAATTGAAGCCCTACGAGACTTTTGAAGAGATCAACTCGGATCCAGACGTTGCGGAGTCTCTTCGAAGTCTGTACGACCATCCTGACTTTGTGGAACTCTATCCCGGAATTGTGGCTGAGGAGGCTAAGCCGCCCATGGTCCCTGGTGTTGGCATTGCGCCTACCTATACTATTTCCCGGGCCGTTCTGTCTGACGCAGTAGCTCTTGTTCGTGGCGATCGTCACTACACTGTAAGTCTTCCGGCCTACTCGGACTTTCCCTTGCAGCCGTCCTGACAGCTGTTGCAGATCGATTACAACCCGAGAAATCTCACCAACTGGGGATATTCCGAGGTCAGATACGACCTCAGTATCAACCAGGGCTGCGTCTTCTACAAGCTCGCCACCAGGGCGTTCCCCAACTGGTTCAAACCTGACTCTATCTACGCTCACTACCCCATGACAATCCCCAGTGAGAATCGAAAGATCATGAAGGATCTGGGCAGGGAGTCTCACTACTCCTACGACCGTCCCCAGTACACGCCTCCTCGCGTAGACCTGATGTCGTACTCCAACGCCAAGTTGGTTGCGGAGCAGCAGAACCAGTTCCGTGCCGCCTGGGACGACACGGTCGAGTTTGTGTTCGGAAAGGCCAGCAAGGAGTTCAAGCTGTCTCAGGATAGTGCCTTTATCCAGAAGCACGCTGACGTTATGGGCAAGCTGCTGAACAAAGAAGAGTGGCACCGGAGCGTCAAGGAATTTTATGAAGATATCACCACGAAACTTATTGAAGACAAGACCAGGAGATTTGGTGGCCTCAATCAAGTGGATATTACGAAGGAGTGAGCTCTTTTCTTCCCGCTCCACGCTCAATAGGTCGCTAACTGAATTGACAGTGTTGGCAATCTTGCTCCAGTGATCTTTGCCTCGAATGTCTTCTCCCTCCCTCTGAGAAGCAAGGAGAACTCCCGCGGCATATACACGGAGCACGAAATGTTCAAAGTTCTAGCAACCTTGTATAACTGCCTCTACTTCGACATTGACAAGACCAAGTCCTTCCCTCTGCACCACGCGTCCCAGGCTGTTGGTGAGCCGCTGGGCAAAGCTCTCGAGGCCAATGTCAAGTCGCTTGGTGGTAGCAGTCTGCTTTCTGGTATTTTTGGTAGCTTCCGCGAGAACAACAATGCTCTCAAGGAGTACGGAGTGCACATGACCAAGAAGCTTTTGGAGAATGGTCTGGCGGCTCACGAGATTGCATGGGCGCAGATTCTGCCCACAGTGATTGCGATGGTCCCCGGCCAGGCCCAAGCAGTAAGTACCTCGTCCAATGATTGCGCACCTCGAGATAACTGACAGGTGGTGGTTGATTTAGTTCACTCAAATTATCGACTTTTACCTGTCGCAAGAAGGTAGCAAACATCTTCCAGAAATCCAACGCCTGGCCAAACAAGACACGAAGGAATCGGATGAGCAATTGCTGCGTTATTGCTTGGAGGCTGTCCGTCTCAATGACATCTCCGGATTGTACCGCCAGTCAGAGACTAGCCTCGCCGTGACCGATGAGGCCGGCGAGGTCACTCTTCAGCCCGGGGACAAGGTCTTTGTCAGCTTTGTACGTTCTGCACCCTTCCTGTTGTGCTATTCAGCCTCTTCTAACGCTCAACTATTAGGCCAAAGCCAACCGTGATGCAAGCGTCTTCCCTGACCCAGAGGAAGTGCGTCTGGATAGACCTCTGGATTCCTACATCAGCCCCACTCTAGGACCACACGGCTTCCTCAGCAAGCAAACCAGCCACATTGCATTGACCGCCATGCTGCGTGCTGTCGGGCGTCTGAATAACCTTCGTGTCACTCCTGGTGCTCAGGGACAGTTGAAGAAGATTCCTCAGGCCGGTGGCTACTCCGCTTACCTGCGGGAGGATTATGGCAGTTACTCTCTCTTCCCTACAAGTGAGTGTTCTCACCTGCTCTTGACACAGTCCAATCTTGCTAACGCCTCTCTTCAGCTTTCCGTGTCCAGTACGATGCCTAAGCTGGCGATCGCTGCTCCATTTTGCAGCTTTGGTTTGTAGCTGGTGTATAGATGGAGACGCCACGATTTAACATGTTGAGATACCTCTAGTTCTGATATTGTTGAATTGAGTTTATGGTCTAGTGTAGTATAGTAATGATATGTGCAATGCAATACAGCTGGTTGCAAAAATGGCGCAAACGTTTATACTCTTCCTTTGTTGCTGAAGCCCTAGGACTAAGCTGACTATAATCCGCGTAGCTTTGCCAGTAATGGTGAGACGGTATATTAAAATTATACTAGCCTGGGAGGCTTCTATGCAAACTGAGAGCCCCACATGTTACCCCGGCAAGGGTCTGGCACCAGTCACCCTCATATTTTCCTTTTCCCTTCCTTGTTTGCCGCCCCTTCCATCGTCCTTACACAGTTAGGAAAGGAACGGAACAGAAACCGAAAGTCGCGTCCAAAATGGAGAATTACCAAAAGATCGAGAAAATTGGCGAAGGTGACGTGATGATGCAGTTATCTTAAGTGGCTGCCTACTATACAATAGCTCACGCATCGATGCTCCCCAGGAACGTACGGTGTCGTCTACAAGGCTCGAGAGGTGAACCACCCAAACCGTGTCGTTGCTCTGAAGAAGATCCGACTCGAGGCCGAGGATGAGGGCGTCCCCAGCACCGCTATTCGGGAAATCTCCCTTCTTAAGGAAATGAAGCACCCGAACGTGGTCCGGTTGTTTAATATTGTATATGTTGACCACTGCAAGCTTTATCTTGTCATGGAGCTCCTAGACTGTGATCTAAAGAAATACATGGATGCCCTACCTATCCATGAGGGCGGTCGTGGTAGAACTCTGCCGGATGGGTCAATGATGAGCGCCAACCTGGGTCTAGACGGAAATATGGTGAAGAAGTTCATGGCACAACTGGTCGAGGGTATCCGCTACTGCCACAGCCACCGTATCCTGCACCGTGACTTGAAGCCACAGAACTTACTTATTGATCGGGAGGGAAACCTGAAGTTGGGCGATTTCGGACTGGCGCGCGCCTTTGGTGTCCCGTTGCGGACCTATACTCACGAGGTAATAAATACTGGCAATGAAACGCGTCATTCAAGCCCACCAGCTAAATATTGTTCGTCTAAGGTGGTTACCCTTTGGTATCGCTCTCCGGAGATTCTGCTCGGTGGACGCCAGTACTCCACCGGGGTTGATATGTGGTCTGTGGGAGCTATCTTCGCGGAGATGTGTACGCGCAAGCCACTGTTCCCTGGTGACGCGGAAATTGATCAGATTTTCAAGATCTTCCGGTGCGTAGCTCTTTGCTAGGCCGAGTTGGCCCGATAGAGTTTGACGCTTGGTTCTATAGTCTCCTTGGCACCCCAGATGAAGAGATCTGGCCTGGTGTTACTGCGTTTCCAGACTACAAGGCCACTTTCCCAAGGTGGAGGCGCTCCCCAGGTCCACTGGTCCCGGGATTAGACAGTGCTGGCTGCGAGCTTCTGGAGGCTCTGCTCAAATATGATCCAGCTCAGAGGCTGTCTGCAAAGCAGGCCTGCATGCACCATTACTTCCGCAACGGCAGCTCATTCTATTCCGGCCGCACCCAGGCCAGTGGCTAACCAATCTCCAGAAAGAGAGCATATCATAACATCACTGATGTTAGACAGTAACTGGTGAATAGATTATATCATAGTGAAGTCAACACCGCTGGTCGAGTGGTCGAAGACCATATCTCCTGTCAGAAATCAAGCCATTTCACCTGAAGGCCAGCATCACCATAGTTTAAGTGATCCATTGTTCCCCGCTGATTGCTGTTCGCACGCTACGTACCATTGACCCATAATTTTAACAAATTCTTGCTGTCTACCATGCTATTATGTTTATTATAAAGCTCTGCAGTGTGGGGGTTTGTGATTTAAAATAATTTCCGCCATTTTTGCAACCAGCTGTATTGCAATTGATCCAATTCAGCATCTCAGTGTTGATACCGCCTTTTGTATTCGTCCGATAAGCTACTCCGTATCTTATCGCAAACCACTCATTCTTCACCGCCAACCAAAGACAGGTAGGTACATTGTAAACATTCCTCTCTCTTTTTGTCTTCACCATCAATCCAATCCTCAAGCAGTGGTCCAGCCCACGCAGGGAACCACCAAAAATGCCGCCCAAACAAGCCAAGGGCGAGTACATCGAAACCGTACGTTTGAACCTCCCACCCATCCATGAACCAACTCTAACGCAGCCACTGGCAGGACACCGGCAACAAAATCTCCCGCCGCTCCCAAATCCACGGCACGCAGCACATCATCCTGGGCGGCAAGACCGTCATCCAAGCAGACGCCGTCATCCGCGGAGACCTCTACCGCTCCTCGTCCTCCACCTCTACCTCCGCCGACGGCACAAGCCGCCCCTCGCAACCCTCCACGCCCTCCGTGGCCATCACAATAGGCCGATACAGCTACATCTCGCGGCAGGCGGTGCTGAGGCCACCGTCGCGGCTGCACCGCGGGGTGCACACGTTCTACCCGCTCAAGATCGGGGACCATGTGTTTGTCGGGGAGAGGGCGGTGGTCGAGGCGGCCACGGTGGGCAACCATGTGCATATTGGGCGGGAGGCGGTGGTTGGGAGTATGGCCATCCTGAAGGACTTTGCGTATGTGCTTGACGGGGCGGTGGTGCCGGCGGGTATGGTGGTGCCGAGCTGGTGTGTTGTTGGTGGGGCGCCGGCGAGGATTGTCGGGGAGGTCGGGGAGGGGTACGGGGTTGAGGGGGCGGAGGGGGGGATGGCGAGGGAGAGGTATAGGATGGTTGGGAGGTAGGGTTTTGACTTCGTTGCAATGGCACCCGGCGGTGCTTTGGGATGGTGCTTGGTTTCTTTTATTTATTATACCCCTGATAGTTGTGTTGGCGAGTCTGCTATTTTTCTGAAGTTTGTTGTCTAGTATTAAATCGATTGAGGGTAGGATCTCAAGAACTATATGCACACAGGTTCATTAAACATCGCAGTCGTCTAATTATCATACACGGGAGGAAAGTCCAACTTCAAGGGATCATGGCTCAACCCATCTTTTCCACCTCAACTGCCCTGGTCAACCGGCTCTCGTCGGGCTCATACGGGAAGCCCGCCTCTTCGCGAGCCATATCGTTGATGAACCGGCCATCGGGTTTGACAGGTTCGTGCTTGGACATCTTGGACGCGAGGTAGAGCCAGTTCAACGCACCGCCGACGGTGCTTACTTCATCGCATACGTTCTTGGTCCCGTAACGGCTCATCTCCCCATAGAACTCTTCATTCGCAAACAGCTTGAACAGGTGATCGGCCACGGCGTCCGTGTCTCCAACGTCAACCAGGAAACCGTTCTTGTTATTCTCAACCTGCAGAGGGATGCCGCCCGCCCTGGTCGCAATGATAGGCGTTCCTTTATGAACCGCCTCTGAGACCTTAACTTCGAATCCTTCCCGCGTGGATAATTGCAAAGCCACTTTGGCTTTGGACATTAGCGCGTTCAGTACCTGGTCCGATGGTCCCAGTCGCATAACAGAGATTTGATCGATCAAGTAGGGGATATTATGCTCAATGTGAGACACAACAGCATCGTAAATGAGCGAACCATCAGGGTCATCGATCGAGCCGTGTCCGCAAATCAACAGCTTTGGAGGCTTCTTTTCCGGATACGCGGAGGTCAGGCGATTGTAGAATTTCTCGTAAGATTCCACAACATCAAAGATGCCCTTGGAGGGATCAAAGCGGGCGATTTGGACGATGTACTCGTCTATCATTGTTAATGGAAAAGCTTCAACTTGCCACAACGGGGGCGAAGGAAAAGACGCGGTCTCACCTTCAGGGACGTTTATCACAGGCATGCCAGAGTTCCTGCAGGCGGCATTGAAGACGCGGCCATAATACGCCATATCCCAGTCCCGCATGTTTTTATTCAGGCCATCTAGCCTACAACAAAGTGTCAGTGATTTCCTCCTTTTGACAAAAGGCCCAGGGACTTACCAATCTGTGGTTGCTCCCATATAACCCACGATCTCTTTAGGCACGTTCTTCGGTACGAATGAGCTCACCGGATGAGAGATGAACAGGTCGGCCTGCTTGATCAGTTCCCACATCCGGCCCCATGCTTCCGCCTGAGGCGTGTCCGGCTTGGCAATCAGATCGCTTCGGATCTGAATGTGGCTCCGGAAGATGACGGGTCTATCCGGCGCCATTTCCTTCGCAATGGGAATCAATGCTGGCATCTGAGGGTCGTCCATGATAATCACATCGGCGCCTCCTTCTGATGGGGGCCGTAACGGTCCTCCCGGTCTCAACCAGTACCTCCTTGCGTTCTCCTGGATCCAGTCCGTGACCTTTTCCCAGTCCTCCTCTGTGCACCGGTCTCCAGGGTTTGAGACACCTTGCAGAATGTTGTGGTTCGTCTTCGTAATACGGAAGACACCTGGTCGTGGTTTTGGTACGTACCTTGGAACACAATGTCAGCGATTTCTGTGGTCGGTACGGTGGCTCCAAATTTGACGATCACTCACCATTTAATATCAGTTCCCAATGAATACGCAAACCTCACAAGAGCATGCCTCATGAGGGCTACACCTCCACCTTGAGGGGTGGCACTGAAGAAGGCTATCTTGACGTTCCTTTCTTTAATGTCGGAAGCCCAATGCTCCACAGCACTCCATGTGCGAGGTCTGACCGTCTTCTTAAAGTCGTCCAGATCGGTCAAGCGTACGTGAAAGGCCGTATCGACCTCGACCAAACCTAGAAACCCAACTTGCAGCAATGGGATGTTTTCCGGGCCAAAAAGTCTGGGCGTGAGGTAAGTATGCAGGCATGCAACAGCAAACAGGCAGTGTTTCCCTCACCTGACACATTTCCGTCCCATAGACTCTGCTTGTTCATCGAGCGATCTGGTCTCCCAACCTGGATAGGTTGGAAGAGGCTGCTTGGACGGCTCATTCTCTTTCCGCATCTCCTCGGGAAGCACCAGTGGTATGACGTCCAGCTCAGCCCATAGGCGCGAACAGAGACCTGGGCATGCATCTGCGAGATGCTGTGGCAATGCCAATCCGATGAACTTTTCGAGGTGTTTCTCACTGAATTTCAGTAATTGCTGCACGACGAAGTCGCTTATCGCTTGAGAAAGAGGCTTATTGTCTTTTCGAGGGACTTTCTCTTGAATGAATTCGAGGAGGTACGTTACGTCACGAATGGCCAGGGCGATGGTAGCTTGTCCGTCGTCGGTAAATAATACCGAGAGGCCGGCATAGATGTTCTAATCGAAGTTAGTACTCCAGAATTGGCACCTGTCTGAATTAAACCATTCATACCCCAGAAGGAGGCGCAGACCATGAATTCTTCTTGAAATCGACAGAAAGACGACGCTGCTGGAACACAGACGACCGCCGTCGGAAGGAGAGCGTCTCCGTCTCCATGATGTTTGCGCAGATAACGGGGCAACTAGTTATCGATAAAGAACAGATGGAATATAAATGGTATTGACTAGTTGAAGTAAACGAAATCCTCGGACATGAACTGATGAAGTGGCGTGTACGACCAATATTATATTCATCTGTGTAACGGACCAGTTGGTGACCTCACCGGTTCCGACCATGACGTACCTATACGCTGAGGAACTACCGGATGCTGTGTTTAGCCGCAGCTTCCATCTCAGCTCGGGATATCCACGATAATCCATCATTCAGGTTAGAGCAATCATTGGAGAGACTTGATCCACGCGGTATAGATCCCCCATCACCTGAAGCTGGGTTGCTTTCGGGACCATGGCGCATCGCTTAGCTCCGCAAGAGGCGAAATCAGTCCATTAACCAGGGCGGAGCATCAGACAATTCCAGTTCGCTCATGGTCTGATCCATGGATGATTCCGACGGAAGAGGTCCCTGGACAGTGGCAGATGAACCGTTCGTGGAATGCATAAATTCCGAACAAAATAATGATGGAAGAACCCTCTCATCTCTTATCAAATAATGCTCTGGGGTAAGTGGTAAGCTACTAAGCAGCTGAAACGCTTGGCCAACTCTGACTCGTGGGGGAGAGCTGCTTAGTCATGGTCAACCCCTTTTATGGCCCCTCTCATCTACCGATGGATAGCTGGATACAGGGTCAACACTGGAAATTGGGTCCAGGAGAAAGGAGATTATTTGTTATTCATTACTGTTAGGAGTTGACTAGCACCGTATCCAACTAGCTAGCTATCTAGACTAGCCCTCAAGCAAAGCAGCGCCGGTCTTTCTGTGGATCGTCGGGTTTTTTGTCTCCAAAAGTCAATTTGACTCTTACAATCTTATTCTCGCTCTCCTCGTTTCCTGCTGCCACGTTTGAAACAGCACAGGTGACCTGCTTTTTCCTACCCCCCTCTCTGTACTCACAAGCAAGGTGCGCAATTCTCCATTCCCCAATACCCATGTGCCTGTCTTGTTGTCCTTGCGTCTCTTCTGCAGATCTCATATTAACTTTTTGCATTGTTTTGACAGGAGAACCCAATTGACACAAAGACGCTCAGGGTCTCGACGGTTCCTGACTCTTTCCCCTCTCCCCTCCCCTCAATTGAAAGTGCAGACGCGACAATTGCGACCGAGTCAAGTCCGGCATTGAGACGTACAGTCAAGGAATCCTCTTATCAACTGCTCCGTTGGTCGCGACTCCGACAGTCGCCTTACACTAGTCAACATGGGTGGACAAGTTTCGAAGATGCTGGGAAAGATATTCGGCACGAAGGAAATGCGGATTCTGATGCTGGGTTTGGATGCGGCCGGAAAGACCAGTGAGTTTTGGCAACGAAGAAGACTAAATGGAATTGCTTGGAAACTAACTGGCATCTCTACCACAGCCATCCTCTACAAGCTAAAGCTCACGAATCAGGATGTCACCACCATTCCTACTGTCGGTTTCAACGTTGAGAGCGTCACCTACAAGAACGTCAAGTTCAACGTCTGGGATGTTGGTGGACAGGACAAGATCCGGCCTTTGTGGAGACACTACTACTCTGGTATGGAATGTCACGTTGGGTGCAATACCTCATCAATTAGGATCCTTACTGACGTTCTGTGAATCGTAGGCACTCAAGGTCTGATCTTTGTCGTCGACTCGAGCGACACGGCCCGTATGGAAGAAGCTCGCTCGGAGCTTCATAAGATCATCAACGATCGCGAAATGAAGGACGCTCTGTTGCTCGTGTTTGCGAACAAGCAGGATGTTCCCGGCCGTAAGTTTCCACAAGACTGATTGACATGATTCACGCTGATTCGGTCTCTTTATCGCAGATTTGAGCCCGGAGGAGGTCACCAACGCATTGCAGCTCACCAAGTTGAAGGACAAGCTGTGGTATGTGGCGCCCAGTGTTGCTACGGAGGGTACTGGAATCTTTGAGGGACTTGTAAGTGGCCGCTTCCCAATGTCAAACTGCTCGATCCAGCAAATAGCTGATGTTTCTGCAGGCCTGGCTTTCAAACAACGTCAAGACTCAGCCTCAGAAGTAATTTCATGCCCCACGTCAACCAGATCGTGCCGTAATCAGAGGTATCTTCACGTGGCCTCGTGTACAACATGCCCCCTCCGTCAATTGGTTCTAAGATTTCTTCGTTTCATGTCCGTTTTGATGACAGACGACGCAGCATTTCGACTTCCGCTCTTATGTGCCGCATGGTTTCTTTTTTCCCGTCTTCCATTTTCGCTCTTCTATTTCCTTTTCCTCCATGATATCCCCCTCTGTTTCTGTGCGGGTCATTCATACATACCCTTTTACTAATAATTCTCCTGTCGTCCTTTGTAACTCCGACTGTTCAAGCGCCATTCTTGTCGAATACAGCTGTTTCTGTGACTTTCCGTGTAGAAAGAACCCAAATAGAAGGCAGATTGGACCACCACATACAATGGAAGCTTAGCATGACCTTTTTTTTTATTTTGCAATTTGTCCTTTTGGTCTAATGTCTCATCCACACGTGATGACGATCTTTGAAGCAACATCGGCTTTGGTATCGGACCTGTCAGCACTCAATCATTGATCGTCCCGCCTGGGAATCCCTTCCGCCGCCTGCTAGCACGTTCAGCATGACGGAGGATCGATCCACCAACAGGCCTCACCAAGGGACACGGAGTAAAGCTCCCAACCTGTCGGTAAGATTGCTTGGATCATTTCCGGGTGATCCAATGCCTCGTCAAAATTACGTCGATCCCGTAGGATGCAAGCAACGCATCAACATCTTCCTCATACAGCTTCTACAGACATCAGATATGTTGATTTGGCTAGCAGGATCAACCCTCTCACGAGTGCATGTCCACTATCACTCGGATCAGAAACATGTCAAACTGACGCAGAAAGGTGGCGCAACGGACCAAACGTCCACAGAAACAAAATGGCCACGCGACACATAAATAGCACGCTGGACTCGACCTCCGCCGGCTCGAAGATTTTCTCTTGTTTTGGAGATTTGGATTATATCGCTCTGATTCAGTGATTATCGGTACAAGTCAAGCACACCCACAAGCACAAGCAGATATCTAAGTTACATCAATTCCACCGCTCACAATGCCCGATTACAGAAAAGGAGAAAAAGTCCGCTACAAGCCTGTCGGTGGTATGTCCTTGTTCAGTTCACCAACCAAATGGAGGAAGGTAGCTAAGCTCATTCGACCAGGCCCCGAGTCCAAAACCTCCGAGGCTGTCGGCATCATCCGCGAGGTCGCCACTCAGCCGACTCAAATGACGGGTCGCAATGTAGCTGCTTCGGACGAGGAGCCCCGGTACACTGTGGGTTACTCCTTTTTTTGGCGACGGGTTGCTGCGAAGCTGACGCTGACTTGGGGTGATAGATTGAGAATGCTCGTACGCATAAGCAATCGGCTATCAAAGAGTCGAATATCTTGGGGCCTGAAGAGTAAGTTGATGGATGATCGAGGGCGGTTGGATAGACGAGGGAGAGGGGAGAAGGCGATGGTGTGTTTCTGGTCGATGAATGATCACTTGATTTTTCTGGCCTAGGCAGATACGGAGTAGAAATGGATGGATTGCCTGATACTTGCTTTATCGAATGCTTGAAACAAGGATGCAGTACTCTGTAAGCCGTAATTTTGCTATACCCAGGTCCGAGCTTTGTCTAGGCAGTCTAGCTAAATGTAAATATACCGGTCGTGACCTAGGTGTGGGTTTCAATGCTGACACGACATATCTACGCTTCTTGGCTGATACTCTACTCCGTAAATGCAACATAACTAGAACTAAGAGCTTAGCTGCATGGAGTTAGCATCTCATGCGCATATATTAAAGCCCCAAGGTACTTAGTGCCCTTTCCTCGGAATGACTAAATCATTCTTTCAACGACATTGTTAGATTTCTGAAGAGCGTTATGACGCTTATCATGTTAATATAATATTTTTATATACAAGAATCATACGTTAAGTGGTATTCTCGTTACTCATTACATCGTTTGGACCTTCATCCTCAACCATCCCCTCCTTATCCGTCTCATTGTTGAAAGTAGACCAATGAAGAGAAGACACCTGCAGCATTACCATTCCCCAAATATCATTTAGTGGTCGTGGTTCACAGCTCACCGGGCCAGATATCGTTAGCAATTTCGCGGACGAGCTTCAGCTTGTTGATCATGCCATCCCAGTCAATCGCGTTACCCTCACGGTGACTGGCAAAACCACACTGTGGGCTGACGCCGACTTGCTTGAGGGCCTCTTCAACGCTAATGTTGTTACCCTCGGCGATGAACTTGGCAGCGTCGTAGACGCGCTTCTTCATCTCCTCCTTGTCCTCGAGCTCGGGGAACTTGCTGGTCACAACGCCCAAGATGACGTTCTTGTGACGAGGCAGCTCCTTCAGAGGCTCGAAACCACCAGCACGGGGCGTGTCGTACTCGAGGTAGTACGTGTCGACGTTGAGCTCCTTGAACAGCTTGGTAGCGATGCGGTCATAGCCACCCTCGGAGAAGTGACGGCTACCAACGAAGTTACCGCGACAGATGTGAACACCGACGTGGAAATCGGCAGGACGCTTGGACAGCAATTCGTTGTATTGCTTGATATACTTTTCAAAGGTCTCGTCGGCAGTGGCCGTGTTCAGAGGGTCGGCCTTCCAGCCCTCCAGCATCTTCTCCGAGCAGAAGTCTGGTGTCTGGGTTAGTATGTCTCCTGTCCAGTCAAAGACATGCGAAATCCAGGGCTCTTACAAGCAAGGTTGGGGTCATCGAACTGGACGTTTCTGCAGCCAGCATCGTACAGGATTTGCAATTCCTCCTGGTAGGCTTTGGCGATATCGCTCAGGTACTCGTCCTCGGTGCTGTACACATTCTTGGGGAAAGCCTTGCCGTTCTTGTACCGAAGGTGGTACCAGTTGGGAGCAGCAAGGGTGAGCTTCACGTTCTTGACCTCCTCGGGGGCCACCAGGCTAGCCAAGTGCTTGAACTGGTCGACATATGTGCTGCCAACGTGCTTGATCTTGCCGGTACAGATGACAGTCTCACCAGGCTTGTGGCCCGCTTCCAGGAATGCAGCTACATCAGGAGCATAGGGGCGGAAGATATCCGCGTCAAAGTCGGTAACCTCCTCGAAGCCCTCGAGACCAGGGAAGAAACTGCCCCAGAACACTGCATGGAAATCGGATCAGCTTAATCTCCATGTGAATATCCGCAAACCAGGAAACCCATACTGTGTCTGCAGTATTCTCCATCAGAAAGAGCGGGATAGCCCAGCTTCTTCTGGGTCTCGACAATATCCTTGATATCCCTCTCCTCGACAGCCTTGAGCTCAGCCGCAGAAGCCTGTCCCTTCTCGAACGCTGTCTTGACTCTCAGGAGCTCCTGTGTCCGGAGGAGAGAGCCAAGGTGCTCGGCACGGAAGGGCGGATTACGGTGAAGCTGAGCCATTGCGAGTATACAGAATCTTACTGAGAGTTCCTGTCGCCACCAGAACTATGAGCTCAACAGAGACGAGAAGCAACAAGCACGAGGACGTTTCGAGGAAAGGAAGAGGGCAAATTCTGTACTCTCGGTGACAAAAAGTTGAGGGGGGAAATTGACCACCTCCCCCAGCAAAGGGGGCTCTGCAAGGACGATCCATGTTTTCAATTTGCCGGTTCTTCAGTCATGCTCAGGCCTGCCGATGACATCCACCTCACGATTCAGCCCCACATGTTGTGAGTCTCTCCACATCTTGAAAGTCAGAGCCCGACGTCGCTGAACAGAATGAGGTTCCATTATTGCAGCTAATGGATCTGGTTCTATGGAAGTACTTGGATCCCCCTCAAGGAGTCAAGGGTGATGCGGTGGGGCGCATGGAAGCTCTCGTCGTCCGCCAGTTCTTCTATTATATTAAGCGATCATAAAGCAAGGTATAGCTCATGTAATCTAGCCCAGATATTTCCGTATTCCCGTCGTGTGGGATCTGGTAAATGTATATTCTCCTCTCTTCCTAGCTCTTAGTCCTACTATGTCAAGCATTGCGGAGACAGGCTCCACAGAGCCACATTAAAGGGGTTTTACCGATGGCTGAGAAACTGTACGTAGAAGATAGGAGAGTTCGGATATATCGCACGCGACTACAAGATTCTGCTAATAATTGGAAAGTGGGGAATTTCTACTGATGAAGTTCGACTTCATGAGGACAGACTCTGAGATTGAATTGACCTTTCCATCCAGTTATCATGGTGAGAGAGTACGGTAGTTGTACGTATTGTATGTAAGTGGGGATCTCTCGGCACTTGGTCCTTTCGTCTTCCCGAGAGACTGTCTTGTCTGTTCTGTCATCTCCCCTCTCACCGCCTCCAATGGTTCACTCGAATAGGAACAATCGACAATCGACAATCCATGTCGATGACTAACTCGCTTTCGAGCTACATCTAGCTACGACCGGCCTGACATCTTATTTCATCCAATCCGACATGAAGATATGACAGTTTCACGCAAGTTGCGGGATCCGTCGTCATGTGAAGCTCACTGAGGCCACTGAGCGCTAACGCTAACTCCATAGTATCTCAGCAACCCGGAGCATCAACCATTGCTACAATGTCCGCAGAGACTTCGCCATTCGAGTCGCTACCGAATGAGCTAATTGATCAAATACTGTCCAACCTTGCTACTGATCCTCCTTCCTTGTCCCGTTTCGACCAGCCCCCGTGCGTCCGTATAGTCAAATCTACCACCCGTGACCTCAAAAATCTATCGCGGACCTCCTCTCGCTTTCTAGAGGTCACGCGGCCGCGGTTGTTCGCACATGTCTGCTTTGATATCAGTGAGGAAGAAAGCTTTCTACAGTTCGTCCAGAAATGGGATCTGTGTCGAAACGTGAAGTCCATCCTGGCGCGGGGAAATACTGGTTCGGATCCTCATGACGACCCCTCATGGTGGCGTAGGATTCTGCACCACCTCGATCCTCTGCGAATCACTCTTTTGGCACCACCGCCGTTTATCGGAGCGACGCTAGGAACCAAGATTATGGATGGACATAATTGGGCTTTCCAGATCTCGCTGCAAGAACTGCAATTGGAGAGAACAGAACGGCAGGTAGCACCGCCTCCGGTCTCGCATGTCGAGGCATGCTCGGGTCTTCTGGCAGCTCGGGAGTGGTCATCGCTGCAGTTTAACGAGTCCTCATCTTTGAAGGCATATAACCATTACGAGTATTTCCTCTTCCAGGTCCCTTCTGTGTTTAATAAATGGGGCTCGTTGACCCGATCAAATCCGGAGAGTGTCTCTTTATCTCTCGCTCTCAACAAGTTGACAGCATTTCATTACACTGCGGTTTTTCCGTTCTACAACCACGTCAAACTGGTGCTGGATTCCGTGAAGTTGATGACGAGTCTGCGCTCGCTCAGTGTACGATTGGCACCGTGCTTGAACGACAAGGCCATAGAGTTGGAGCAGAGGGGATCTATGGACCCAAGCGATCCGTGGATGGAGCTTGCGACGGGCTATACTTTAGTTGCGCATGCAGTTCGGGACTTGGGAAACAGACGTCTTGTACATTTCTGCGCATGCGACTACGAGTCTGATGCCCTTCGGCCAGAACTTTCTGCTATATTAACAGACGTTCTGGGTGACAGTGAATGGGCCCATGACGGACATGGAAACTGGGTTAGAGGAGCAAAATTTGATCGGGTCAGCCTATAGGCGACTTATGCGTAGCGCTTTTCGACCTGTAGTACATATTCCAATATCATTGATTTTGGAGCCTCAGGCATCAAGAACTCTATCCCACTATCGTACCCCGTTATCCAAGCCAGAAGTTAAGATGTTCAATAAATTGATGCTGATCTGAATAACATGCCGCACCCGTCCCAGCTTGGGTTCTGAACATGGCGATGGATCTGCTTATACCAGGAGTTATCTTGGTGCAATATCGTTTTTCGCGGTCCAATTCCTACGTCTGATTTATCCCTATCAACGCTTACCGACAGGGCACCGCAGCTCTCATACTATACGCATGTCAAAATGTCTTCATCGGGCAATGCCTACGCTGCTGAACCAGCCTATCCAATTCTGGCTCATACACTACTATCCAGTCATTCCACGGCCTCTAGGGTATCAGAGCAGCCCGATGAGCCAGATCAATCAGCCATCTGGAATCTAAGAAGGGACATCGAAGAGGCATTCGAAGGCCCATCCAGCGTCTTCCGCTGTGGTAAAATAATCGGGTTTTCGAAACTGAAGAAGACAGCTCAAGAAGGCGATGACCATGATCTCCTCGGCCAGGTAAGATGGGATCTCTTCCAATGTGACCGCAGCCAATGGCAGATCATCGAGCACATATCAGTATACACACAACCCTAGCCATCCGTGAAAGCATACAACATCTCTTTCATTTGATTCAAATGGGCGACAGCTAACGCCCACAGCTCCCCCGCTACCTCCTCGCAAAGCATCTACGCAACACAACACCCTCACCACAACCAAAAGCCTTCATAATCCACCCACCAACCTTCGACCCATTCTCCCCAAAACAACTCCTGGCTTCTCTCCTCGCTTCACCTGCAACACCACCCCTCTCCCGCAACGAAGCAATAGCCCTGCTAGACCACGTCCAGCTCCTCCCCGTCTTCGACTTCCGCGCCGCAGTGCAAGCCATCAGCCAAGTCGCCGACGCCTTGCAATCAGCTCCAGAGTCTACTGGGGAGGGCGGGCGCCCACGCACTCTCTTCCTCATCGCAGGCCTCGACACACTAACCGAGGACATCATCCGCGCCTCGAATCCCGTGAAGGGAGCTGCGGCGCTGACCGCCGCGCTGCGAACGCTGACGCAGCTTTCAAGGGTGCATGGCTCGCATCTTGTTGTGATGCTGGTTAATACGCGCGGCCTGGGACCCGCGCCTGGCTTTCGCCCTGGTAGTGGGGTTGAAAGGCAGCAAGTTTCGCGAGGCGACTTGCGGCCGCCGGTGGATGACGAGGGTGTCTACTCCATGTTTCATGCGGGGACACCGCTGTTGCCGAGTTTGTTGATGAGGACGTTGGATCAGGGCATTGACACGCATGTTCTGCTTTCGATGGTGAAGGAGGACCGCGTTGTGGAGGTGATCAAGGATCGAGTGGGAGAGGGGGTGGGGAAGTGGTGCATTTGGGACGAAAAGTCCATGAATGGTTGATTCTATTGAGTGTCTGATGTACATGGTCAAAATCGGCTTGCCATATCGGCATTATGTTGTCTCAGCCTTATGTTAATTCCGCTCTATCGTACAATATCTATCAAGTATAGTTCATACACTTTTCCCGGCCTGAAATCATGATGTACCATCCATACGCCAACGATATGCAGGATTTTCTTTGTGAGCCAGTAATGGCCTGACTCCCAGATAAACGGACCAACTCCATATTCCGCCCCAGAGAAAGGGTATCTATCAACCACCAAGCGACTTACTCGTAGCGCATATGCGAAAACGTATCCTGTCTTCAAACAGGTGCGGCGAGAAACAACTACTCGCCGCCGTTCTGAGCATTCTCCTTCTCAGCCCACATTCGGAGAACGGCCCTCTCAACGACATTCTGGGCTTCTTTCTCGCATGTGGCAAGGTCCTGTTTCAGCTTGTTCTCCTCGAATAGAAGTTCGGACTGATGAACCTTGACCCATTGCTTGTGCCTCTCGCAACGCTTCTTCGTACAAACTCCGCGAGACAACTTTGCCAGCTCGTCCTCATCCTCGGCCTCCGTCTTGGTGCCATTCATGGCCGTGTCACCATCCGCGTCAACGGTGTCCGGATAGCTGGAAGCAAGTGCTTCAGGGGTGCCCTCCTCAAGTGCTTTAGCTCCTAGCTTGGACAGTCTCCAATCGTCGAATTCCTCGTCTGACCATGCGAGGCGGGTGTCGAACCCACAGATATCCTTCCATCCGCCCTTTGGATCTGTTTGCTTCAGCTTCTCCACAATGCTCTTTGATCGCTGACGAATGAGTGTCATGAACGTGGAACGCGTGTTGAGCATATCGCGCCGGTGGAGAAGCTCATCTCTCTGTTTGCGCAACTGCTCAAGCTTTGACGCCTCGTCGTGAGAGTAGGTCAGGCCTTCGGGATCCATGTCCAAGCCAAGCTTCTTGCTCGACCTTGCTCCTGTCGCAGGATCCTCCTCGTCTGGCGGCGCCGATATAATGCGCTCTCCAAGTTTACGAAACTCCTCCGCAGAAGAAACCGCCATGACGACTGCGTGAAGATCACCAGTGGTAAGAACACCTCCTCTGCTGCCAAGTTCCTCCCATTCTTTCTTGGCGGGATCCTCGGGGTTTTTGTGGAGTTGCTGGATCCGTCGACGCATGAATTCCCGCCCATGCTCGTCAGAGCAATACTTACTCGGGTTCTTGCCTGTCACACGAGCGGGTTTCCGACAACCCTTTAGTCGACACATCGGTTTCCACGTCGTCCATCCTTTGCCCTCGGCCTTGCAATTCGGGCCTGATGAATGTGCATTAGCTCACGTCAGAGTACAAAGCTGCCTAAGCCGAGACTCACAGATGTATTTGTCTATCAAGTCCGCATCTTTCGGATCGATGTTGATGCATTTTCCATGGAACCAATCATCGCATCCCCCGTCACATGCAATCATCCAAGTATGATCATCACCCTTGCGACAGATGCAGAAAACCCCGTCATCCTCCGACGAATCTTCTTCTTGATCTTCCTCCTCTTCCTGTTTCTCTACTTTCGCCTTCTTGGCATTCTTCTTCCTTTTCTTACCCTCGGGAGCCGGAGAGCCCGCGATAGATACGGATCCCTGCTTCTTGACTCCGGGTGTCTTGCTGGCGCGAGTCGAAGAAGGGGTGTTGGAGCGATGGCTTCCCACGTCTTCGCTCGCAAGTTCGTCTATTTTGCGTTTCTTCGTTGTCTGTTTCTTGGCTGTCCCTTTCTTCGATGCACCGGGGCCCGATTTCCTTCTGCCGGCTGCCTTGATGGAACCAGATGGCGATGATCGATCTGTCGATGATGCTCTTGAGGCCAACTCGCTCTTCAGATCAGCGACTTTCCTCGGCGTGGGATGTTCTTCGGGCAAAAGGGTGCCGTCAAGTTGTGCCAGAGCGGGCAAAATCTCGGTTTCGTTGCTTGGGGGATATTTGTCCAACGACGGCTGCAGAGGCTCAATTTTCACCTCAGGTGCCGCTGTAGTAGGATGATCTGGGAGCCCGTTTGTCCCGCCAACGTCTGGGATATCGTCATAGAGGTCGGCCCAGACCTGAGTTACGTTGACCCCGCCATTCTCAATGACGGGACGCTCTGGTATCCGAAACTGACGATGTATCTGCTTTGCTCTCTCAAAGCCAAAGAACCCACATTGTCGCCAGCCGAGAATGCCAACGATTCGGCCATCCTTGACCACGATATTCGACCGGATCATATCGTTGTGAACTAAGTAGAGCTGCTCCGTCCCTTTCCTATCTTGAAACAATATGTCCCTTTCGGAGTCTTCGACGCCCGGAGGTGATTGAGCGTTGAGTTCGGCGCAGACATACGACGCAGACTCCGGCGCAGGTTCGACGGTTGCAAGGCGCTGAATAATCCGACGGCATTGTTGTTTAAAAGCACCAATTTGTTCAATCGTGAGATACTTCCAGGCAACCTCCAGAGACACGCCGGGAATTCTAGACTCCACTGTGACGTTCTTTCCGTCAACTGTGCCATAAAAGTATATTATTGGTGTAGCAACACCGAGTTCTTGAAGAGCGTCCTGCGCCCTGTTAGCAGCACTCAACTCGTTCATGTCAACATTTGAATATCGTTCCGCAGCCGCACTGGCCGCAGGTTCCTGGTCAACTCTGATTAGAACGCTGCCAGCAGCGTATGCCTCCCTTGTCCCGGGCACATTCAGGGAATTGTCTGGGGTGCAGGATGTTCGCACTACCTCCGCCCAGTACGAACTAACTTCCGGTTCCGCCTGGTACCAACCATCGTAGCGGGGTTTGAAGTCATCGACATGCGGGGCATAGCGACCGTATTGCGGGCTCCGAGAAAGAAATGGATCCGTTGGAGGAATCAATTCTGGATTTGTCTCGTAAGGATTTGTGGTGGATTGGTCGGGACCTGTTGAGCCGTTGACCTGGCTGAGCTCCGCAGGCGCGATCGCGTCTCCAGCCATTGCAATGTGAGATCTCCGTGTACGGCCGAAAAAAAAGATGTCGTGCTAAATGAGGGCAAAAGTATTCGAAAGGGGTCTGGATCATGTATACAAGCCGATGCGACGAATCTCCACGGCGAATTTGTCCCAAAGAGAAAGTTTGCAGCTGAATGCTAGGTGTTGAACATCGATCTCGCCGGTGAAGGTGATAGCATCCTGGTAAGGCACTTCTGTCGGTACACGTTTAGAAGAACAGCAACCGAAAAGCGCTACAGTAGCGAACTCAGTCGTCGAAGGGATGGCGCGAGTAGAGCCTTTCTGAACGGTCGTTTTGCTGAACAAGGATAGCGATCAGCTCCGGAATGAATGCGGACCGGTTGAATCCACCACACTGCAACGAGCGCAAATCTCACTGTGATGCGACAAAGGGTAATTCAAAGTGGTTCAAAAAACATGATTCATTCGCTTGGATTAGCAGGATCTCTCAGAATCACAGGGGTGGAAAGATCGCATGGTATCAACTGCGCGACCGGCGACGCGGAGAGCAAGATCGCAATTCAAGGGTTTGGCAGTCTGCAGCCGGACTTTACTGAAGGCGGTGAGCCTAACTCCGCCAGTGGCTCAATGTCATGTGACACTCTTCCTCTTGAGTATGGTCACGTGAACATAGGGTCATTTAAGGCTGGTGTTTTTTATGCCTACCATCTCTCTTTCAGTGCGTGTTCTACAATTGGAGGGTTCAACGATCTAGGAAGGGATTTATTATGGCTAGTCCTTATTTCTTACCTAAGGTCAGCTGTGACAGTGCAGGCTGACTACATTCTGTAGATGACAGGACAGCTGTATAAATCCTTGTAAAGGATGAGATCTGTCCAAGGTGCAAGCCAGTGATTACCATGCGATGTCCGAACCAAATTGTGTCCAGCCGGTGTCTCGAGGTAAGGTCCAGGTACGGGGTAAGTACCTATAGCAATTGTTGCTGCACTCAGCACGGCCGCCATGTAGTAGCAGTCGGCGATTCCTGCTTGTCGTAGCCAGGTGAGAAATCGGGAGCATTTTCCATCGTCGAGAGTTTATTGAGACCATAATCACTAATTGCTCCACCTCCTTTTTTTTCCTGGCTGGTCAGGCTTGTATCATGCAGAATGCCAGGATCACCAAACGCGCCAATCTCATCATGCTACTTTGTCTTGGCAGGAATAGTAACACGGACGAAGAGTAGTATCTAGACTAKCACAGGATGTGCCTTTGGCCAGTTGAACTGCCACACAATTTGAGATCAATTCGAAATCCTTGATGAAACATACGAATTAGGGGTCCTCATCCTTCCAGGGTCTCGATTCTCGCTTCTCGAACCGTTCTCATTAAAGTTGAAACGCCGATGAGGGACTTGGAGAGATGCTAAGCCACCGACTCGCCAAACAGGACAACACTTGCACGCTATCTATCTAGCTAGTCTCATTCCGTGCGGCTGAGGAATTCCACCTGACGAGTAAGAACTGAATAGAGCGATCAGGTGGAGATCGTCAGAAAGGCAGTCGAACGTCCTTATGATTCAGCTCGTTTTCAGCTCGTTCTAGTCTACTCTCTTCCTTTCGAGTCTCGAACCTTGAGTCTCTGTCTGCTGGTCCATCCCCGCCTTAAATCCCCTCATATACCGGGACGGTGGGTGATCCTTGGAATTGAGGACTGGACTGGACCGGCCGATCGATCACTACAGTACCATTGTTCGTCAGTTCCTCGATCCATTTGATTCGAGATTCCAATCTGGCCACTTTGTACCGGAGTACTGTGGGGAATAGTCCCAAGATTGAGACGTTGGCTTGAAGCCGAACCAAACCACGGCAAAGTCAATACTCTCCGTCGCGGTCTCTATCCGCAGATTGTCCACTTGTCGCTTTTCTGTTGCCAAGTACGCTTTCAGTTTCACTGGAAATTTACTTCAAGTTTCCATGTTTATGAAATCTCCACTGTTCTTCATATTGGCCAGCGGATTGCTCAGCTAGTTCCTCGTCTTCCGGTCTTTGGAGACATTCTTCACCACCTTGTCGGAGTCTCCATCCCAGCCATTAGCACCCCGCCTTTTGATCAACAACAATCAACCTCAAAGATCAGCAATCATAGAGACTCTCGACCATTAAACCCAGTTAATCGTGGCCTAACCAAAGAATATCTACACTGTGTCATCTCATCTCAGCTACGCTCGTTTTCAGCACTCGACCCGGCATATACTGGGATCGGCTGGGTAGTACTTTCGCTTTCCGCTGGGAAGATTCCATAATCGGAGGAGCGCAGGAGTGTTCAATTGATGATGCGCCGTCGTCATTCGATTATCATCGAATCAGGACCCTCTAGTTCAACCTTCAAGTCCTCGAGTTGCACCCCGTTACCAAGTCGAAATCAATTTCTAAGGATAGATTATGTCCGATGTTTCGGAGGAGACAGCTGCAAATGAGCTACCGGCACAATCCTCGCAGACGCGGTGGGAGTTCATCGATGGTTCGAACAAAAGCCGAAGCAATCTCACCCGAGTCAAGCGCCATGTGATGCACGAATATATGCGGCAGAAACGCGGTGGCGTGCCACAACCAGACAATGAGAATGGCGAATCTGTGAAGGAAGAAGAGGAATCACAGCCGAAGGTTCGCAGGCGATCGAGGAACAAGAATGCGGGAAAGAGTAGTACAACCGAGAAGGAGAAGAAGAAGGACCGTGGCAAGGGCCGAAGGAGAAAGAGCCCGGACACTTCGACAGATACACAAATGGAGGTTGAATCTATGCGCGAGGATTCCTTAGGGGCGGGTTCATCGACAGGGATTGGAGAGAGTCATGTCTCAGCAGCTGCAGGTCAGACGAACGTGGATACTCTCGTCTCTGTTTCACCACAGGACGCTATTCAGCTTCAACGCTTTATTTCACCCTCGGACTTGCCCAAATCCTATGCGTCTGGTGACCAGAGCAGCAACTCCGAGTCCGACGTCCGGTCACCGTTGTCTTCCGCCCCGACAACTCCCTACGCGCTAACCCTCTCCCCCAAATCTATTCTCAGCGCAGCGCGTACTGACCCGTTCAACACTTTGCCTATGGATTTGGATGCGGAGGGTCGCAAACTCTTTGACTTCTACGTCAACGAGATGCCGGCTTGCTCTTACGGCAACCACTTCCGCTCCCCTAAGGCTCATAATTGGTACACGGCCGTATTTGTCCCCCTGGGCATGAAAGGCCCTGTCGCCTTCCAGAACACCATCCTCGTCCACGCGGCCAACACGTGGGCCTGGGTCCGGAACGAGGAGGAAACGAAGATGACTCTGGTCCATCGTAACCGGGCCATCTCCATGCTTCGAGAGCATCTGGCTGCAAACCCCGGAGACATTAGCGACGTGGCCATCATTGCCTGCCTCAGTGCAGCCGGTCTGGAGGACTTTGACCCCCGGCCCGGACGCAAGCAGATCAGTTGGGTTCACATGCGAGCTGCTCGAGAGATGATCCGAGCGCGCGGCGGGCCTGCGGCGTTCGAGAATACCCGGCTGGGGATGTTGATCAACTGGCAGGACTATATTCTGTCGGGCTATGAAACTCATGGGCCGAGCTTTTTCTTTGAGCCCGATCCACCTATTCCTTCACACCCTGATATTACCCGTTTGACTTTAACGACGGAGCCTTCCCTACCAACTTCCTCATGGCTTTCCACCGATTTTGATGGCGTACCTTCTAAACCCCCTTCATTCTCCCCCAGAGATGAACTCCGACACCAATGCAACGAATTCGTCGAGTTCCTCAAACGCTGCGAGCAACTCGCCCTCCACCAGCAAACGCACACCAACCCCGCCATCGCACCCATGCGCCACACTGCCTTCCAACCTACCTCCCTGTTATACCAGATTCTCGCCGCTCCGCCGGGCGTCCGATTCACCGCCTCGGGCAACCGCAAACAATTCGTCGCCCGCCTCGTCGCGCTGATCATGCTCAACGCCGGTCTGTGGGACTACCGCTCCTCCATCGCCCACAGCGAGACCTTCCTGCGCACGCTGGAGCAGGCCGTGCTCGAAAGCGAGGTCAACACGAGCGGTTCAGTCGAGGCGCTACTGCAGATCATGCTGGAATGCAACGACGGAACGGCCGCCCTCAGCACCAGTCCGAATTTCCCCTCTGTCTTCGCGCTGGATGAGCTCGAGCCCGCCTCGCCTGATTTCACGCAGTACTCGCCCACTGCTCGGACGCCGTACGGCCGGCCTTGGTTCGCGGGTCGGATGCTCAAGGTCGCAAAGCGCCTGGGCTACGAGACGTGGATGCGCGTCAGTGATTTTCTGCTGGGGTGCTTGACGCTCCAGGTGTGGGAGGGCTCGGTTGCGGGGTGGGAGGGGGCGCTTCGACAGGAGATCCTTAGTGCGCCGCTTACGAGCTATGTTATGCCTGCGCTGAGGTGATCATCATCATCATCATCATCTACGTCCTGGACGGCTTTATATATATAATTCTCATTCATGGTTTGTACAAACAGGGTACGGCATGTGCCTACGGCGTCTTTTGGTGATATCTAAATATATATACTCTATTCACGATTACAATTTCATCTTCAACACTCCAATATTTATACCCCCATTGTAAACTCTTTCCCCTGTGTAACCTCCAACGCAACGCCCGCCTTGACAACTTCCCGCGAGTCCACTCCAAACGACTGGGCCCTGCGACGCTGCCGACCGGTAGTAAACACCTCGCCCACCTCCTCGAGGGACTTGCCCGCTGTCTCCGGGTAGAACGCCCAGACAATCACCGCCGCCGTCCAGTTGAACGCAACGAAGCAGTAAAAGTACTTGTACTGAAGCGTGGTCAGCGCAATGGGCGAGCACTGCGCGAAAACGAGGTTGAGGCTCCAGTTCGTGGCGGTCGCGAGGGACGAGCCGCGGGCCCGGATCGCGGTGGGGAAGATCTCGGCGGGGTACAGCCAGGAGATGAGGCCGAGAGAGGTGAAAAAGAGCGAGAAGACGAAGAACATGGCGATGGCGGCGCGGAGCGCTGCAGGAGACGAAGGGACCGAGGAGTCTGGGGCGAAGTTGCCGTAGTAGCGGGCGAGGGTGGCTTCGACGCACAGGGCGGCGCCCATGCCGAGGAGAGAGGGGATGAGTAGCTTGCGGCGGCCTACGCGGTCGATGAAGAACATGAAGACGGTGTTCCAGAACAGGGCGAGGGCGCCCCAGACGCCGGTGATCATGAGGGTGGTGGAGGTCGGGAGGCCCAGCGAGCGGTAGATGCGTGGGCTGTAGACCTGGATGACGTTTGTGCCGGAGCACTGGGTGAAGGCCTGGATGCCGCAGGCGAGAAGCACGCGGTAGCGCCAGGTGGGCGAGGAGAACAGCAGCTGGCGCCAGGAGGAGACGACGGTGCGGGAGTCGGAGGCGATGCTCTCGCAGATCTGGGTGAACTCGGACTCGACGAGGTCGGTATTGGTGCGGGTGTGATTGAGATGCAGGCGGTTGAGGACGTCTTTGCCGGCGTCCTTGTGGCCTTTTTCAATCAGCCATCGCGGCGACTCTGGGAGAAACCAGACTCCAATGCCGAGGATGACGGCGGGGACGGCTTGGATGGCTAGAGGGAACCGCCAGGAAAAGGCGCCTGTGTGCAGAGAGCAGCCATATCCGACCCATTGCTACAACAGTCAGCGATCAATGGTTCGCAAGATCAGAGCCAGAGGAACATACGGCGACGACCACACCCAGCCCAAGCATCCACTGCTGCATCGCACCGAGAAAGCCACGAATATGGGCGGGAGAAACCTCGCTCTGGGAGCTGGTTAGCAGACGAGCATGTCGAGATTGTATGATGATTTTTGGACAGCGCTCACACAGTAGATCGGAATCGTGGTGGACATCAAGCCAATGGAAAAGCCAGCAATCAAACGGCCGACAATCAGCATGGCAATGTGTACGGCTCCCGTCTGAAGAGCAGCACCCAGAGCGGCCAGGACAGCGCCTACGAACATGACTGGGCGGCGGCCAAAGGGGTCGCAGATGTAGGGGACAGCGATGGACCCCAGAATGGCTCCTCCTGTGGCACGTTAGATCTAGAACTCCTTCAAAATGCAGTAGCGGGATGAAGCACCATTATAGGAAGAGACAATGCCTCCAGTAGCAGCATCAGAAGGGTGATGGAAGTCATGCAAAAAGGCCTCTTGTTCGAGAGTTGACCCAATCACCCCCGAATCGTAACCAAACAGGAAAGATCCTAGAGTGGCCAAGATACAGCAGAGAGTGACGAGTAAAAAGGTCATGATAGACTATAGACAGTATAGCAAATCTCAGAGATCATGGTGTGTTATATGGTTTCAAGTTATTGGGATATATTTTCCCCGTTGGTTGGCTGGGAAAAGGATTGTGTACAGTCTTTCGCCGGGGTCAGTCTTATAATTAAGACTGAGCTGAGTGATCATAACCTATGTGTAGGTTGGCTCAGGTGGCGACTCTTCAAAGTTAATCCTCCATAGACTAAGACTATGGCTTTTTTGATTATGGTTAGGATTAGGATTATAAGCCATTCTTAGGCATGAGGCGATTTTCTATATTAGACAACTGAAGAATAAGCTGCAGATTTGAGACTCAGCGTGACGGATAGGATCGGACGATAGGTACTGTATGGTATGGAGCACATTTCACTCCGCAATGCAGTCATGCGCGGATCATTCCTATCATATTGCCTCCCATAAGCATGAATGCTTTTTATTGTTACTTAGGAGAATAGCACAGCTATCTGGTATTAATTCTTAGAGAGGTACCTACTGTACAGTAAGTCAGTAGACTCAGTATGTATCTACGGAGTAGAGTGAGTGATTTAGACCCATCTCTCCGTCTCTGGAACAGTGGACCCTCCAGTCATTTTGTACACACCTTCTGGCTTATCAGATTCTGTAAAGCCGTCACAGACTTTTTTCCCTACCTTAGTGATTCGGTATCTTGTTTGCATCATTGCAATTCATCAACCGAGGCTTCTTCKAACATTCGATGCTTACACTACTGGTCTTAGCCAAAGCCTTCGGTGCCTTGTCTTGAGATCAGCCCCGTTGCGTCGCTGATCGTGGAGATAATCTTCCCAATCATCCCGCTCTGTCGTTCACGCTGTCCCGCCGTCCATCGCTCTCTTCTTATTTCCTTCTACCCTGGTTCTGGCCCCATCAGTCCGTTCGAGGGTGAAATTTCCTGGTTGATCCAGATTGTGCGCCCAAAGGTGCGTGAATACTTTTCCGACCCTTCTCCCACTATCCTCGATCTATCTACAGCTCTGTACTGCGCGAAATCCTTGTTGAGCCTTTGCCGTATTCTCTATCCAGCGTCATCCCTGTTGGTTTGTCATCTTTTATGCTGGTGCATTTTGCGCCCATTGTCACTGCTCTACTGAAAGCGGATGCGCTGACCAACCACGGCAGCATAAGCAGCCAGAAGGGAAAAAAAGGCCACAAGTGGGACGCCCACTAGACTTGGGGATCGCCGTCTTGCTTCTATTTTGTCTAATATTTCTTTCGGTATTATTGTTCTGAGAGTCTCTTGGGCATCCATAATCGTGCCGATACTTCTACTACTACTCAGACGGAGTGTGCGCCCTTCTTTGGTTGATTTTGACTCATCCCTCTTCGGTCGGATTTAAGCCCTGTCTGGCTCCTGTCGCCGAGATACGACCCTTAAGGGAGTGGGATCCCAGTACCTTAAGAACAGAGTTCCATTGTGGACGCTGGATTGGACTTTAGCCGCAGAGATTACTTCATCTCTCTTCGCTCTTTTCCCTCCCTTACTCAAACACACTTCTCTGTGTGCCTTCCATGACTCTTGCGATAATCCTCCGATCTGCCCCTCGTGTGCGATAGATCTTGCATCGCCACGCGGGCTGTTATTTCATTCCCCTTCCAAATCCATCTAATTCTCCCCCTTGCATTAACCTTTGCGCCAACGTCATCGTCGAGAATGGCCGCCAATTCCAGCCCGTTCGGCGGCGCCCTCGCCGGCGCCCCCGCCGAGACCTCTGAGGACGATCCCGCATCCGCATCAGATACACAGTTTTACAACTATGACGACTCGAATTCATCCGCTCTTCCTGTTCATCCTCACGATGTCACTCCAGGCCATGGCCCTCTTTCCGATGCGAAATCGAAGGAGCCTCTTCCCATGCAGAAGCGGCGCCGGGTGACTCGCGCCTGTGATGAATGTCGTCGCAAGAAAATTAAGTGCGATGGGAAACAGCCGTGTACCCATTGCACAGTCTATAGCTATGGTAATTTGGCCTTCTGTACTATGGATCTTCAGTTTTTCTGACTTGGATACTGCACCAGAATGTACTTATGATCAGCCCTCGAATCGGCGCCGGAATCCTGCTCCGCAATATGTCGAGGCGCTCGAGAATCGTTTGCATAAAGCCGAAGCCCTTCTCCGCGTGGTTCTGCCCGACCTGAACCTGGACGACCCTCAGTTTGACGTGCATGCGACCGAGCAGATGCTCGCCGCCATCAAAAAAGAAAAACCGCAGCCGCCAATGCCAACCGCAAGCGCCCCTAAAACCTCGACCGCTCCTGAGCCAACAACGGACGCAGCGGACGGCGGTGCCGGTGACGAGTCGCTGTTGGAGTCTATGGTTGAGAATTCAGGATGCCTGGATTTGGATGACCAGGGTCATTGGGATTATCATGGCCACACCTCCGGTATCATCTTCCTGCGACGGTTGCGCAAGCAACTTGGGGCTTCAGACATGCCGGTCCCGTCATTGCTCCGATCACGGGCCCTCTCTCAGATGCTGGATAGTCCCAAGTCGACGTCCGAGTCTCCATCGGATTCCTCGCTACCCCCCACTCACGATCTGCCCTCCCGGGATGTTGCACAGCGTCTGTGCCACCACGCTTTGTACGAGGGCTGTTCTCTTATGCGGTTCGTGCACGAGCCTAGCTTCTTTGCCATGTTGGATCGGATCTACGATACCCCTCCGGAGCAGTTTGGGAACGAAGAGAATTCGTTCTTGCCGCTTCTGTACATCGTCATGTCTGTCGGTTGCTTGTTCTCAGATGACGGGGCTGGTACCCTGGATATTGCAGGTTATGAAGGCGCTATTGGTCAAGGGTAAGTTGGTTCTAAAGCTTCACTTTACGGGCTTCAACTGATTTTCGGCGTCAGATTTCAGTATTTCAAGGCTGGCCGGCAACTCCTAGACATCACCGATTGCCGTGATTTGACCTCGTTACAAGCGGTTTGTTTCATGGTCCTGTTCTTGCAATCCTCCGCCAAATTAAGTACATGCTACTCGTATGTGGGAATAGCGCTCCGTTCGGCTCTGCGCTTAGGGCTGCATCGCTCTGTAGCCGCCGACTTCAACCCCATCGAGCGAGAGTTGCGGAAACGCATTTTCTGGGTCGTACGAAAGATGGACGTCTACGTGAGCACCCTGCTGGGGTTTCCCCAGATGTTGAGCGATGACGACATCGATCAGGAGTACCCCCTGGATGTCGATGGGCAGTTTATCACCAAGGATGGTATTTTGCCCATGCCGTCGGATTATACGCCCTTGATGGCGGGGGCCAACGCCCACACTCGGCTGTCCAATATCATGCTCAAGGTGGTAAAGTACATATATCCGGTGAAGAATGCTCTGCATCGGTCCAAGTCGGATATGCGCTACATGGTGAGTCATTCCAAGATTCGCGAAATCGAGCGCGATTTGCAGACCTGGATGGAGGAATTGCCTGCGGCTCTCCGTCCAGGGACGGAGGTATCTCCCCAGTTAGAACGGTAAGCACCTCTTTTCGTATTGCGTTCTGCTGTCTGAGACTAATACGTTCACAGTATCCGACAACTGTTGCGAATCAGCTATGCTCACTTGCAGGTTGTCATGTATCGACCGTTCTTGCATTATGTGTCTAGCGGGTCACAAGCTCGAGGTGTGGACCGACGGTCATATGCTTGCGCCGCTGCATGCGTGAGCGTCTCGCGAAATATTGTCCACATCACGACTGGCATGCACAAGCGGGGCCTGCTCAATGGGTCCTTCTGGTTCACCATGTACACGACCTATTTTGCTATCTTGTCTTTAATCTTCTTTGTGCTCGAGAATCCCGACTCGCCGACGGCCAAGGACGGGGTTTTGAAAGACGCCATGGAGGGCAAGAACACTCTGGCCGGACTGGCAAAGAAGAGTTTGGCGGCAGACCGCTGCTCGCAGAGTCTCAATTCTCTGTTCAAGAATCTGCCTGAGCTCTTGAAAAACCGCCAGAGTTCGGTGAAGCCTGTGAATCTCAAGCGTCCAGCGCCGGCTGCTATCTCTCGGCCTGCTGCAACCGTGAAGAACCAGCAATCTGCACCCGAGGTAGCGCCCCCGCAGAGAGCTAGTACGTTTCCGCTACAGCTACTGAGCCGACAGTCCAAGGCCGAGGCGAGCAATACACCCAAGAGCTTGGACGATAGTCATAGTCTTGGCAGTGGCAAGATGTATCAGAGCCAAGTCAATACCCAAGTCAGTACCCCAACGTGGGTTCCGTCTACCCCGGAGGCCCCTAGCGACACCAGCATCACGACGCCCGAACCCCTTATTGCCGATCAAGCTCGCGCAACAACCACGGCATCCCCAATGCCGGTGATGCATTCGCGACAGCCCTCATCGGGGCAGTTCTCAGCGCAGCAGTTGGCCAATCCCGGAAATTTGCCGGACCTCATGCCCATCATGTTCCCATCCGATGATCCTTTTGCCTATCCCACTCAACCAATGTCCACATTGGAAGATGACCATTTCCGCATCGACGGACTGGGCCTGCAGCCAGCGAACCAATTCGGATTCGACCCGTCATCGCAGGGATTACCGTCGTCGACCTCGACTGATTCACCAACGGGTGCAGTGTCCACCCCGACGTTTGACAACTTTGGCAGTTTCCCGCTTTTCAATAATGGGACTTCAACCGGCATCAATGCCACACTCCCGCATCGTGTCGCACCGCAGAAGCAGCAAGCCATGAACCAAGCGCGGCTGCAKTCACCMGTCTCGCATGGCTCGACGCCCGGCAGCGGCACCGAGGCGGTCAACAGCCCCGACCTGGTGTCTATCCCCAACCAGAACTTCATGTGGCAAGGATACAACTTCCAGCCACAGGCGTTTCCCCCGGAGTCGTCAGGGCCGCAGCAGGTGCCAACGACAAGCGAACCCCAGGGCTTTAGCATGGGGATGAACGAGAACAATGAGATGGGGGCGGGCATTGACATGGGGTTTCTCCCTCTGGACGATATCTTCGGCGACCCATGCCGACCGAACGGAACTCTCGCCAACGACGACTGGATTCAGTGGATGAATGTGGGAAGTTGATGAATCGTGCAGCATATGATACAGGCTTAAAAATTCGGTTTTGTTCTACGAGATAATGAGAAACTAAGTGTACGGTCATGTCATGTGTTTGGCGTTCAGGACTGGTATATACGGAGTGTCTTTATTCCATAGGTTACTGGTAGTTTAATACCAATTGCACGCATTCTATCAATTTGATATACAATCTATCTGGCTTTGATCTAGTTTACAAGTCTACAGTATATACCCTCTATTAGAATCGGATCAACTCCTCCGCGGCGGCTGGTACCAACTCCAAATATTCAAGCCAACCTTCGTCCCCGACGTGACGGGCAGCGCCGCATGCCATGTCTCGGGATATCCCGTGCCATCGGGCCTCAGATTCTCCCAGAAAACCGCATTCCCCTTGATAGGCTTGAACGTGATGCCCTCCCCCGTTCCCCTGGCCCTCGCCTTTCTTTTCTGCCCTTTGTCCTTGTCCCCATTTTCCGGTCCCCGCTCCAGCTCCTCCTCGTCCCGACACTCCAGAAACCGACACCACCGCCTATCAACCGGCATGCGCAAGCGCGGGAAATTCGTTCCCCCACCGGTACAGTTATCGTCGAGGTAGACCATGAACGTGCTGGCGCGGTCGCCGCCGCGCGCGACGGAGCCGGCCCAGTCATAGTGGTGCTTGTAGTGGCCGGAGGCGTTGTAGCGCTGGGCCCACATGCGCTCGACGTACAGGTGTGGGCGCCACCCCTGGAAGGCGCGGGCGCGCTCCTCGATACACCGGACGGTGGGGTCGCGGTCGAGCAGGGCGCGATCGGAGAGGCGCGTGGACGGGTCGATGCGCTCGGTGATGCCGTTGTAGATGATGCTGGGGGTGTATTTTCCTACGCTTTTTTGTATCCGTTAGTTCGCTGTTCCTGTGATGTGGAATTGGACATAGGAGGCGAAAAGGTACCTGATGTCGACGAGGTGGTCTGCTTCGGGGGTGGTGAGGAAGCCTTCGATGTAGATGACTAGGGGGGTGCGGGAGAGGAAGTGGATGCGGTAGGCTGGGTCGACGGGACAGTCGGGGGTGATTCCGTCGTCGATGCTAATGAAGGTGTCGTCGAGGAGATTGAGGGCTTTGGACGGGGCGAGGTCGTCTGCGTCTTGGTCGTGGTACGCATTTGCGTCTGCGCTGTCGGGGAAGAGGTAGTCGGTGGTGGATGGGCTGAGGGGGGATTCTCCTTCTGAGAAGAATTGGCGGAGGAGCGGGGCGAGGACGAAGAGGTAAAGGGGGAGGAGGTAGAAGAGGGAGGAGAGGATGGTAGAGAGCTTGATTGACATGATCTATGTAAAATTATGAAGATATACAGGTCTATAATGCTGATGTAGGAAAAGACTGATAATAAGAAAACGAGGTAAAGACTGATCAACCCATTGGATGACAAAAGGGTCAATTGAATGGCAGAAATCCGAAAAAGAGCAGACTTGAGGTCTTTCAGTCCAATTGTGATGCACAATTGACTGGCATCATCTCGTAGATGAGGGTTGAATCTGATCGTTGGTGATGATGAAGCATGGAGAAGGGATTGAGGTGGATCCAATGTCCTCTTTCACCGCTCTGCTGGATGTCCTCATCATGCTCTATGTACAAGCCCTCTGTTTGAAATCAGTGTGCAGCTATTGACAAAGAAGGAGAATAGAGGTTCTGATCCAAGGCTCACAGTAGATAAGTGACGTGTTGCTGGAGTTGAACAATTGAACAATTCCTGTAGAGCTTCATGCACGGTCTAGTGCTAACTAACTAATGCAACTCCTTGTGTCTGACTAAGACATATTGTCCACCTCAGAGATCTATAAGTTTCTTGGCAATGAGATGAAAATATGTTGTTGCCTGGGATCATCGATTTAATTGATGTTATTATTAGGCTGTTGCAATGAGACTTGTTACTACTCCGTACTGCCTCACCTTCCTCGGAGGGCAAAGGTCTCGACTCATAAGTCTTGACATCATGCACAAAGCACACTAGAATTTAGGAATGACGGTAATGTAGACATACCATGTGATCCGGCTGTACAATAATCAATTAGTCACCTAGGTCGTCAGTAAGGTAGACAGATAGATACATAGTGACTTTTGCTCAGCCAGGAGAACTGTATCAAAAGTACTTCGTTAGTTGAGCTTGTGGTCATACCATCGAGGTATCGGTACGGAATATTACTGCCAATCCCAAGTAAATTCGCTGCTCAATTATATCTAGTAGACTACCTAGCAGTAGACTAGGACTAGGATTATATTGAGGTAGCATTACAACAGGATCGATTTGCTGTCAATAAAACATGCCAGGTTCTCAGTAGTAGACCAATCTTACCCCGGATAAGACCGGGGCTGTCTCGGACGTTCCCAATTTGGTGCTCACGACGAAGACCCGACACCGGTGACTTGAATGGTGGATTAATCCAAACTAATCATAGAGATAACCACTGTCGGCTTCGCTGCAGTTTTGCATGTGTCAAGAGCATGAATAACGTCCCAGGTAATGGCTTGATGATGGGTAAATTGGCCACCTCAACTTCCAAGTCCCAAGACTTCCATCCACGGGGCGGGAGACGAGTTGCCAAGAGAGTGACCGTGGTTCTGTGGTGCAACTGGCAGAGGAACTCTTGGAGTCTTGGTCTTCTTGTCGCTTTGTCAAGAATGGATTTCCATCGCGACTCGCTTGTATTATTATTAAATTCGGAGTCGTGGGTCATTTTATGATAACCAATAATATGAACATCCTGCCTATGAGAATTATTAGTATTAATCCTTCGAGTCTAGCAAGGATGCGGGGTTTTTTGAGGCAGACGGAATCGTGTAATTTATCGGTAACATCTGGTATGGTTTTGGTCTAATAATACCTTAGCGCTGTTCAGATGCTCGGATCGGATTAATTGCTTCATCCGGCAAGCGACCTTTTGTTCTGTGTTGTGGGATCTTCTTCTGTAAATATTTCTTCTTCCTTGACACTGACCTTTCTCATGATATCATGCTCAAACTGAGCTGTGATTTTCACTCACAAATTGTTTGCATTATGACGGAATCAGAGAACCGCTCCGATCTATCCTCTAGGTCACGGAGAAACTCAATACGAGGGCCAAGCAGGCGTGGACGGAGCAGTACCAATGGCTGTTACCAATCGGGTACTCTGTACTCTGTAACTGGTCTAACCTAAGCGATCAGCATAGCCCACCCGCAATTTTCGCCTCAGCCAGTCATGTGTCGTGGCTGGACGCCACTCAGGCTTGGGCCCGCATGGCTCTTGGCCCGGTCTTGTCCCTGTCTTGGGTTGTCCCTCCGCCCGGCTGTGCAATGCGCTTTTTTCTGGGCTTCTGGGCTTCTGGGCATCTACTTCTCCTGCTTTCCTAGGTAGTCGACTTCCGTACGACTTTCTGGGCTGTTGTCCCCCCCCTCCCCTCCTTTTCCACAATTGTTGTCTTTTTCACCTTGCGTCCGGCCCAAGGACAAGAACCCAAGCATTCCCCCCCTCTGCCTCCTCTTCTCTTCTTCCAAGACTTTCCTCTCTTCTATCCGTCCATACCCCCCTTCCCTCCACCTCCAGCCCGTTTCTCCCTTTCTTCCTCTTACACTCACTTCGTTGAGAATTCTGGTCTGCGTGTGCTGTGTGTACACGACTTTACAGCTTCTTTGCGTTGTTTTTTTTGCAGGGCGATTCACCGAGTCTTGCCGATCATTTTCTGGCCGACGACGTCCGTCGCTCCCAGGATAAATCGATTCTCTGACTCATTTTCACCCTTCTACCCTTTTCTCTTTCTCTCCCTGTGTTGAGAAACAAGTTTCATCGCAGTTAACTTGCGTTGATATCCTCCCTTCATTCTCCGCTGCTCCCAAGAAAAAGGACGAGAAATCAGTCTTGGCACAATGTCTGAACACCAAGATAACGCAACCAACAACAACACAACTGCTTCGCCTTCGGCAAGTGCAGCTCCTATGCCTGTACCCATCTCGCAAGAGCAGCCTTCGTCGCAGCCTGCAGCTGCAGCCCCAGCTCCTGTGCCTACATCGACCCCTCCAGCTTCCGTGACTGCGACCGCGGCTGCTGCGACTGCGGCTGTTGTGGCTCCCCAAATGAACGGAACTCCTCCAAATGAGGAGCAACTTTCCTGCTTGTGGCAGGGTTGCTCTGAGAAATGTCCTTCTGCCGAGACACTTTATGTGAGCCATTGTTATTTCTTCATACCCTGCATCTCTTCAGTCGCCTCATTCTTGGCGGAAACACACTCAATCAGACAACACAAACACCTGCTACTTGAACAAGGCTGACAGGATTAGGACCACATTTGCGAGCGTCACGTCGGTCGGAAGAGCACAAATAACCTCAATCTGACATGCCAATGGGGAAGTTGCCGCACTACAACGGTTAAGCGTGACCACATCACGTCTCACATTCGTGTCCACGTTCCTCTGAAGCCTCATAAATGCGAATTCTGTGGAAAAGCATTCAAGCGTCCCCAAGATCTCAAGAAACACGTGAAGACCCATGCCGATGACTCGGTGCTTGTGCGGTCGCCTGAGCCGGGAGCCCGAAATCCGGATATGATGTTTCATGGAGCTGGCAAAGGTAATGACGAATGCCCATTTTCTCTTTGCAATGTCAGGACTGACATTTGTACGTTTTGATCAGGTTATGCTGCTGCTGCCCATTATTTCGAGCCATCTATGAATGCAGTGCCCAGCCAAGGATACGCCCACGGTGCTCCGCAATACTATTCGTCTCATCCCCCGCACCAGCCGTCCAATCCGTCCTACGGGAACGTATACTATGCTCTCAACCACGGTCACGACGGCCATGCTTCGTATGAATCGAAGAAGAGGGGCTACGACGCTCTGAACGAGTTCTTTGGCGATCTGAAACGCCGTCAGTTCGATCTTCACTCTTACGCAGCGGTTGGCCAGCGCCTCCTAGGTCTTCAGAATCTGTCTCTCCCTATCCTGGCCGGTGGCCCCGTGCCTGAATACCAGCCCATGCCAGCGCCCGTGGCCGTGGGTGGTGGCTACGGCCCTGGCGGACATGGTGCTCCTGTCTACCATCTCCCCCCAATGAGCAATATCCGCACAAAGAACGACCTGATCAACATCGATCAGTTCTTGCAGCAGATGCAGGATACCATCTACGAGAATGACGATCATGTTGCTGCTGCTGGTGTTGCACAGCCTGGAGCCCATTATGTCCATGGCGGCATGAGCTACCGCACTACACACTCTCCCCCCAGTCAGCTTCCTCCAAGCCACACCGTGGCCACCACCTCTGCTGGCTCTTCTATGAGTAACCCTGCCACGCACTCGCCTCCCACTGGCACTCCGGCTTTGACCCCTCCATCCAGTGCCCAGTCGTACACCTCTGGTCGTTCTCCAATGTCCGTTTCCTCCGCTCATCGCGTTTCGCCGCCTCACCATGACGGTGGCTCGAGCATGTACCCCAGACTTCCATCCGCCACGATGGCCGACAGCCTGGCGGGTGGCTACCCCACTGCGTCGAGCGCTGCTCCTCCTTCTACCCTCAGCGGTATCTTTGATGATGATCGTCGCCGGTACACTGGAGGCACTCTGCAGCGTGCTCGTCCCGAAGAGCGTCGCTTGTCCGTCCAGATGGACACCTCTCACGACGGCAAGGAGGACGGCGAACGCACCCCTACCGGCAAAAACCGTTCGTCCGGGTCCAATTCCCCAGTGCGTATTTCGGCTAATCTCATTGATCCTGCACTGCACTCGAGCAGCTCGTCTGAGGCCGAGGCGGCTCTGCGCACCGCTCAGGCAGCTACGGAGGTGGCCGAGCGTGCCGACTCGCAGTGGGTGGAGAAGGTTCGCCTTCTGGAGTATCTGCGTAGCTACATTTCATCCCGTCTGGAAAGGGGCGAGTATGACTCCGACTCCGAGAGCCATGCTTCGGCCGTCGCTTCTCCGGATACCAAGCGCGATGGACATATGGAGGGCGTGGAGACGAGCCATACACCCATCACTACCCAAGAGCCTTCTGCGCCTCCCGCAGCGAGGGCTGAGTCTAACCACAGTGTGATGTATCCCACACTTCATGGATTGGATGGCGATGAAGATACCAAGATGCACCATTAAATCGTGCGTTATTTGTTCTCGTCGCCTGATCCCCCAGTCTTTTAAGGCCTGCTTTTCTTTGCCAATGCCAATCGAGCCTTCTCATTTCTCTTTTACGGAGTTGACTGGGTGTGAACTTTCCTATCGTTTCTATCTCTTTTTTCAATTCTCGGACTGGGCTAGTTCCTCTTGTGTGTGATTACCATATTTCATTTCTCGAATTGTTCCTCTGTCTGCCGGCTGGGACTCTTCTTTGTGCTGTGTATGAAAGGCCATGTTTCAGAACATATCTCAATGGACTTGTGTTTATTGACGTAACAGTGTACCCGGTAGCATGTAGTCGATTGGCCTATCTGGCTTTCTCTTAGTGGTCAACAACCGTTTTCAGCTCTTTGTTTGCTTGCATGGACTGAACTTTGCCAGAGGACAAGCCAGTGCTGTGTATGGAATCTCCACTGCGGACTCCGGTGGTAGGAGTTCAAGAAAAAGGCAACATTGAGAGAGTTGGCTCAAAGTAGGATAAGGAAGATACTGGTTTGCATCCAGTGTAACCATGGGGATGATGCTACAGTGTCAATTACTGATCGTGCTACTGATCCTCCTAAGGTCATAGTTCACTACCTGACATCGCACGAGGCGCCTTGAGACCACGGGCCGCGCTAAGCCACATCCGGACTGAGTGACGCAAACAGTCGATAGTGCGAAGGTACCTTACTTTACTGGAGCAGTTCATGTCAGGGACTGAACTAATTACACTGATCTGGGAGATGGAAATAAGCATACCATAAGGAAGTATACTACTTTGACAAAAACAGACGATTGATTGCTCTCACTGCCATTCTTTTTTTTTCCTTGTTTAAATGTTTACAAATTATCGAGCAATGATGATTCTCTGGGACGTTCCAGGCTTCGATTGCGATTGGTCTTGCCTGATCCGGTAATGTTCCATTGGATCGATTTCCCAGTCTACTCAAAGTACTCCGTAATGTCTGGTGAACTGTCGAGGTAGGATAGGATGTTGACGTCCAGGTTGATTCATTTTTATTCCTTGGTCTGTTCAGTAGACTCGGTATTCATGAGATGATGAGGGTTTCCTGTTTGTAATGCGATGCGATTATCGATAAGTGGGTGATCTGCGTGAGCACGAGGGATGTTTTGCTGAAAATCACCGGTACGTATTACTTTATTTACTACCTTATGTAGATTTTCTCTTCGTCAACCGTTCCTGCAGCCAACTGGATCTTCGAGGGTGGTCTTCGACTTATCTGGGTAGATTGGGATGGATTCTCTCTCAAACAAGCAACAAATTAGGACATTGACTGTCCATGTTTCCTTCATTCCTTCGTCGTGCTCCACCCTCGCTTCTGTTTACGGCGGCTGGGGAGGATCCATTGATGGAGCATGGTGGTATTGACTGGATGGGAGTAGTAGCTTTAAGACTCGAGGAATCCTACTGTATCAAAATATTTTGATCTCTATCTACTTGTTCTACAATATCGACAAGTTCATGTCCATGTTTGTATGTAGGTGAACGGTGATATAATTGAATTCTTTTCCCCACGCGGAAGAGGTCACGCCCCAAACACCATCGGCGCGTTATCGTCACTGCGCCATCAACCATCACGAGCGGCATCATCATCAATCTCATCATCACCACCATCATCTTTTTCCCATCCTCTATCTACTACTCCTTTCTTTTTCTGTCCTAACATTGGACACAACCCCTTGTCTAATCAAAACTCGTTTTCTCCAACTTCCTTAAACCTATCCTTTCAAGGCAATACTAAGCCTTCCTTACACGCACCTCTATTTTTTTTTTTAACCTCCGACTAAGTGGCTGGCTTCCCACCCCTCCTACCAGCCACTCACAGATCGCGTCGCTTTCTCTGCGCGGTGGCAAAACCGTCATCAGTTCCTTGGGTTCTTTTCTTCTCACGCAGTTCATCCGAGTTTGCGACGAACGCTGGGATTTTCCCGGCTTACGTTTTTTCCCTTCTGTTCGTTTGGTCGCCGCTCTGTTTTGCTTCTCTGCTTCCGTCTCTCCGACTCTGCTGTCGTCCTTCCCAAGCTACATCCTACGCCGTTGCTGAAGATCATCGAAAACAACGTACACCTATTTCTCGTGGTTGATAGTCGATCAACCTTGTGAAACATATTTGTTTACCTCGGCTTAGCCTACTAAACCACAACAAATCAACAAGAGATATCGAAAAGCAATGCCTCTATCGAATCGGCGCCGCGCGCGGCGCAAGGAAATTCAACTGCAGGAAACGTCTGACGCGGAGGCCCCGGACTCGTCGCCATCTCGGCCATCGAACAAGAAGCGCAAGGTCAGTGACCAAACCGAGGCCTTTTTTGCGATCGAGATGAGTTTGTTTTGCTGAATCTGCTCCCACAGGTTGACCACCGTCTTTCCCCTCCCGCCCGTCCCGTCAAAGCGCAAGAATCCGCCGATGAAGCCGACGACTCGTCCCCCGAAAATGAACTATCCGCCAACCAGGACCTGGTAGACATGGTCATCTCCTGTCTGAACGTCGCCCGGGAGGAAGTGCGCGTCGCACGGGACCACTCGAACAAAAAGACCGAGAACACGCAGAGTATCCGCGCATATGCGAAAATCGCCGGCCGCAACTGGACCTATTACGTCAAAACACTGCATGTCAATATTGGACGCGAACCGGATCGCGAACCGAAGCTGGAGGAGCAGTCGAGTCCCGTCACGATCGCGGCGAGGGCCCTCCCGGATGTCCATGTCGATCTGGGTCCGAGCAAGTTCGTCTCTCGTTTGCACGCGGAGATCTTCTATGACGGCGGGGAGACCCCTTCCTGGCACATCCGCGTCAATGGACGCAATGGGGTTCGGCTGAACAACGTCATTCTGAAGCGCGGGACCGATGCGATTATCTCCTGCGGCGACATCATCGAGATCGCCAACACCCAGATGATGTTCGTCACTCCTGGAGACAAGGCCAATATCCATCCCAGTTTTGTCGCGCGCGCTCAGCGCATCGCCAATGGTGAAGAAGAATTGCTGTCGTGGGATCCCACCCAACACTCGCATCCCCAGCCATCGCAGGCGAGTACCGTGATGAACGATCAGACCTCAGCGACCGCTTCAGCTGGCGCCAGCGGTCAGCCATCACTTGCCCCCGCCCCGCAGTTCCTCAAACGCCAGGTGACTCCCCCGCCGCGGTCGCCGGACACCGTTGGTCCGCGCACCGCCAAGCAGTCGCCGCTCTATAACCGCGGGATGATGATGGAAAGTACGGAGGAGATTGACTACAGCAAGGACTCGGCGAAGGATTTGAAACCGCCATATAGCTACGCCACTCTGATTGCGCAGGCGATCTTCTCTAGCGAGGAGGAGAAGCTCACTCTGAACAGCATCTACAATTGGATTATGGACAAGTACGCATTCTACCGGCATTCTCAGAGCGGATGGCAGGTAGGTCATCTTCAGTTTTCTTTCACTGACGCTTCCCGCAACTGACAAACTTCAGAACTCCATCCGTCACAATCTATCGCTGAACAAGGCGTTCCAAAAAGTTCCTCGTCGTACAGACGAGCCAGGAAAGGGAATGAAGTGGCAGATTGCCGCGGAGTACCGCGAAGAGTACTGGAAGAAGCAGCTCCGAAAAGGAACTACACAATCGTCCGCGCCGTCGTCGCCTGCCACGAAAGAGCCTGTGTCGCGGGGGGCTAACAGCCACTCCGAAAACGTCTTCAACGGCAAGAAATCGCCGGCGGTGTCCTCCCCAGGATTCAGCTCGTTCCCTGTAGCACCCGTTGAGGCATACACGCCGGAACGGGGCTCGCGGATCGCTCGTGGTGCCGACCATCCTCTGCGCAACACAAGTGCTCGGGATTACGAGGAGCCTTCTCCGTTGCCTACACGTTCTGCCACCAAGAGTCATGGGGCCGGCAGCGCATTGACTCGTGCCTATGGACTCTCTGACAATGTGGTGAATTCACCGCCGGTCCTCTCATCCTCGTACTACGATGACGGCCCGTCGTCGATGATTACGCCGGCCCCGCAGCGACAGCAGCCTCGACTTCCGCCTCCTAGCACAGCCCAAGTCCCGTCCAAATTCATGCCGATGAGCTCACCCGCGCAATTCTGGAAATTCGCGGACATTGGCAGCACCCCAGCGCGACCGGTACCCGACATGAGTCCCCTCAAGGGTGAAGTCGGGGATGGGATCGGAAATTTCCCAAGCAGTAGTCCTCCGCCGCCGAATCTGGTCAGTCCCAGTAAGCCGGGGACATCGAATGGTCTTGGACACGGACGGACGCTTCCACCCCTGCGGACCGAACCCGGAGATCTCGGGGAAGCAAGACCGGGACTCAACGGGGCGGTCAAGTCGGAGCGACCGATGGGGCCGATGGGGCCAGCGGGGCCGGATGCAGATGACGATGACGAAGAAGGAGGATTCGATCTCGCCAGGTTCGTTCCCGTGCTTTGATTTGGTGAATGGCCGATACTAATGGACTCTATACAGAGGCTTCCAGCCGATTGGATCATATCATCGGCAACTGAGCAATGCCGCTCGCGCGAGTGCAGCGACCTCTTGATCCGCTCGCCAATGGATGACTATGTATTCTATGTACACCTACACCGATTGTATTCGACTAAGATTTGCTGGTTCAAAAGTTTGACATGTTGCAAACTGATACATTGCTGTGTGTTTGTTTTCTGCTTTGCTTTCTTCGCGTCGGGCTCTGGCAGCACATTCGGCCGTCCGGAGTCTTTCTTTATATGTCCACGGGATAGAAGCCTGGGATTCGCAGAGGGATGGATTGATGCATTTACGACAGGAACAAAAGGACTGGCGTTGGGTTGCTTCTTGCTTGTCTTTGTCATGTACGGAGTACTGGGGTGGGCCCTGGACGATGCGATGATTAGGACAAGATGTAATGATATTTGCTTTTATCTTTTATCAATTATCCCTGCTGGCGCAACTTAATCTACTTGACGACGGGCCAGAATCTCTCCTCCAACCACACCACCTGCCGCCACCACTGCACACAGCGACCCATCACATTCTCACGCTCCTCGGCCCCCTTGATCTGCCCCGCCAGTTCATCCACCACATCCCCAATGCGCCGCACAAACGCCTCAAACTCGGGACTCGTCCAGTTAGGTATGAACCGCGTCCGCAGCGCACCCCCATCGGCGTCCTGCTCCGGGCCCGCTTCAGTTTTCCTAGAAGCCCCACACGACGCCGCAAACCGCCACGCCTGCAGATAACACGCCTCGGTCGCCCACAGCACGACCATCCCCTCCAGCAGACTCGTCGCCGCACTCCCCGCCGACATAAACATATCGATATAAGCCTGGGTGACCCTATTCGGGCCAAAGTACGTCTCCTCGGCCTTATCCTCGCCGCGCACGCACTCGCCCCGCTCCCGCTCCTCGTCCTCCATTGCGACCGGCAACGCCGTCAGATCCAGCCCGTACTCATCCGCCGTGTCCTCGAAGAACTGCAGCTCGGTGCGGATGTTCACGAGCGCGTCGATGAGGACCTCCACGGCGCGGTGCTCGACTGTCGAGGTGCGAGGCTTCGAGCTGTCGGGGTTGTGCGGTGGGAGGCGGATTTTGGACAGGAGCAGGCCGATGAAGCGGATGTAGGACTGCGCGTAGAGGCGGTCTTGGGAGAGCCATTGCGAGAGCAGCGGTTTGGGGATCTGCCCGCGGCCGGCTTGTTGGAGGAAGGGGTGGGTGGTTGCGTTGGAAAGGGGGCAGGTGGAGATGTTGAGGAGGTGGACTGTTAGTGGGGTGGTCATTTTGTTTGTTGTTTGTCTTCTTGCCGATAGAGGAGGTGATGTGGTGAGGTTGTGAAGTTTGGGTTCTGTGGGTGTATTTGGTTGAGGGGCAGGAGGGGCAAAGGTGGTGGGCTGAAGCTTATCATTATCATTATCATTATTATCAGTTTGACGTCAGGCGGCTGTCGGCAACTATACTAGTACAGTCGACTAGTCAGGAACTATGCACCTTAATTACAATATTTAAAGTGAAGAAGCCTAATGCTTTAGCCTTAGTGCAGAGATAAAGCTATGGACATGCTATGGACATGCTTAGTGGACGAGATGGTGTCTGGGGAAGTTGCTTGCGTTGTTAAGGCTGATCTATAGGGGTCGACGATTCTACACGTCATTTATGACATGATATAGACAGCACAGAGGCTGATATAACATATCTATAGTTTATGGCAATGAGATCCACCAAGGAGCATATACTTGCGACAGATCTTCGTGGAGCGAGGAAAAATCAAACGACATAATTGCTAATAATGTTTCTGTTTCTGCACGCATATGGCGGCATAACTAAATAAAAACTGAGAGCGGGTGACTGTCCGGATAGTAACAGCATCCATGGTCAAGATACCATTGGCTGATCGGATACAAGGGATACAAGGCTTCTAAGACAAGTATCCATAGACTGCATATGAGAGCGGAGGTTGACATTTGCCAACAGAATCCTATCCCACTGTTGAAGCAGCAACGCTAACCTCGCCTGTATCACGACAGACCATTCGCACCAGCGCTTCAAGCGTATAGCGAGCATCGTTCCCTGCATTGTGCAGGTTCCATCCAATGATTCCCAGTTCACCAAGGATGCTTGCCAACGAGCGCTGGTTTGCCTCACTTCGGATGATACGATACAACTCGGCAGTGTCGATGCGCTCCAAGAAGGCGGTCCTGACATTTTCAAAGACCGGGATGCCCAGCCTTGCCAGATACTTGACGTCCATTGAGGTGTTGTGGCCCACGAGGATCAGGTTGCGCTTCTGGTGTTTGTACTCAGGGCCACTGCCGAGCTGGACACCGAGCTGGACACCGTCTGTGTCTTCGATCCCGAATGAGTACGGAGGGTGGAAGCAGGCCTGAACCACATCGGCCAGCTTCCCTTTGGACACCCATTCGCTCTCGCCAAATTCGAAACTTCCCGGACATCCTGACACGTATTGACGGTTGACAATGTGGCCATATTCTCGCACTCGCAGGTGCCGGGAACGGATTCTGGAGGTCCAATTCTCCGCGTTCTCGCCGGGAGGGATGCCAACAAGATCCACGGTGTCCAGAGTTGAAATGCCCACTTCCGTGACCTGTTCATGGCAACGCTCATTGCATTCGACGTCAATGCTGATGAAAACCGGCTCGTTCCAGAATGGAAACATCGCTGGATGATCCATATCGAGCCGAGGGATCCCAGTGTCACCTGCATTGTCAAGTCTTTGCGCCATGCTGCAGTCCTCGTCTCGCTTCTCTTCCCAGGATCGTTCATCAATAAGCTCTGGAAGATCTAGGGAGTGGTAGGATTGTAGACCAAGGTAACAATGCATTTTCTTCCGAGTTTGAACCAATTCTGTTTCAGCCTGAAGCCGGATCTGTTGTTTCTTCGCCTTGGAGGCTTTGCTCCTACTCTTGTTTTTCGATGCATTTATTCCGTACTCAATCATTTGCTCATACGCGAGACGCGCCTCATCCATATCGGTAGGAGGCTCACAGTTGGTCTGCGGAGGGATGGTGGCTTCCAGTTCATCTTTTATCTCCCGGCTTGTACACTGGCCGATGAAGGTCGGTTGAGGGACTCCCTCCAGGTTGAAGTCCAAGAGCATTCCCATTTCACTTTCTTCCGGAATCGAGAGCGTAACTTCCAGCTCACTGTTCATTTCCTGTACGAATGTCCGGACTTGAGCAGCAGGCACGAGCAACAGTGGACGCGGGCTGAGCTGAGGAGAGACGTGGACGTAGTATCTGCAACATTTCATCAGTAGACAGAATGCAGGGTGGTAATGCCAGGTAACTCACAGGTCCCAGACTCTCTGCCAAAACTTCCCTCCGTCGAAAAATCGGCTGGCTACCATCTGTGACAGCTCTTTGCTGACGAACTTGTAGGGGTATCTAGACATAGCCATAAGGGGACAGAAGAATCCATCCAGTGGTGTTGATGGCTCCTCTTGACTATGGGTTTTGGAATCCCTAGTATCTGGTGTCTGTGTCGATGCGTTGCACTCGTCTATCTCTTGGGCAGTGCTCTTGTCGAGCCCTTTGGCGGTTTCCTCTGCTCTACTTTTGGATTCCGAGTCCTTGCCGTCTTTTTCTGACAGTACTTCTTCCTGTGTTACCATAGTCAAGGAAGCTGCTTCGGCTGCCTTGGAGTCAGATATAGATAAAGCATTGAGACGGGTGTTGATCTGAAGCAAAGACTCGTCCTCGCGAAAGAGCAGCTTCAGGCGTTCTGTTCTGTCCATCCCGAAGCTTGACTAAATTGACTGTCACGATTGAAGGAGACAAGTGAGCTGGAAGAAGAAATGTTGATAGCTCGGAGGGAGGAGCAAATGCATTGGCAAAGTTGGGAAGACAGGAGTGTTTGTCCTACCAGGACAATCAAACGAGTCCGTGTTAGTGACCACGACCCAATACATGATCCTTATTACCTCGCACAGATATCAGTGAATAAGGGAAACATCAGTCAGCTATTGTCTCGATCGTCTCATTGGGAGATCCTCTTCACTCTTCTCACGAGTCTCGTAACCTAGATGCTATCAGACTATCTTCTCGCCATTGGCTTCACTGGCTTCACTTGCTTCACTTCCATTCTTTAATTGTTCTATCAAAATTCTCAACCTCAATAGATTCAATACTAGACAGTTCTAATGAGCTGGAGGGTATCACTTGACTTTGAAAGTTGGACTCCTCGTTTTTATTAACCAGCACGGGCGAGATATATAATCCTGAAACGTTAGTGGTCATAGAAACCCATACCTCCCATCCATCAGCCGACACCAATGTCGTAGGTCAAGACATATCATGCACTACCAGTCAACAGAGCAATCAAGTGAAATCATTGCCATTTTCCTTGTTGATATGGGTTGACCGTTTGTTGACAATCGGCGACGGCGAGACGCAGGAGTAAATATAGCACACGGAACAATGTTCTCCCGGCGCCCCATCAACAACATTGCCAGACCGCGGCTGATCAATCACGGTCGTGGCCAACAACGCCGCATCAATCTCCAGTCCTTGTGCCCGTTGCGCATCTTTTCCCACTGAGATTGTCGATCGCAAACCTCTTTGGGTCCCATTCGAAGCTACATTCCATGCATCTGCCTTGATCGCTACCTTCATGGCTGCACGGATGGTGCCACCCACCTAGCCCCCTACCATACCTCGTTATAGCTTGCATTTGTCGCTACCGTCTCCTCGAATCTTCCTGTTTTCCTAGCTTCAGAGGGAAGCCATGGTTATGGCAGACTATAACGATGAAGACGGTGGCGTCATTCTCGATGGTCCCTTTGACCCCGATGCGCAGGCCACCGTTACCGACTTCATAGATTACACCGAATACCTCCCCGCTGACCTGATCCGTTCCCTCACCCTCATACGTGGCTTGGACGAGCGCTACCTCGAGGCTACACAGAATGTTCACGAGCTCACCAAGACGTGGGGCCAACTCCCCGACCTCCCCTCCCACGAGCGCCCAGACTCGCTGACTCTCCGCAAAAACATCTCCTCGCAACTTGATGAAGCAATCAACGCGCGCGAATCCGCCTATGCTGAAGCGTGCCGCCTCTACGACGTTGTCGATCGACACTTCAACCGGCTGGAGTGCATCAAGCAGAAGCTCCATGCACTGCCGAAACCGGAGTCACGCGAACCTACACCTCCGGAGACTCAGACTACGCTTAATAAGCGAGGCCGATCCTCAAAGAAGGTCGAGGCGGCTGCGCCGACGACAACGCGCATAAAATTACGGCTTGACGGAGCGGCAAGTGCAGGGGCAAGACCAGAACAAAGGTCAAGGAGTCGGCGGGGAAAGCTTGCTGCGGATCACCTCTCCGGCCTGCATCCGGACTCCCCAATCGCTAGCACCGAGCACTCAGATGTGGAGACTGGGACGAAACCGACTCGCACTGCTGCGCCTGAGGAGCCCGCGGTCGCGAAGGGCAAAAAGGAGAAAGCGAGTCGTCGATCACGGACCTCCGCTCCACTTACGAACGGTCAAGGCCATGGCGCTGCGATGTCGACCAGCAATGCTCTGGCAATGCTCAAGCCCCCACCGGAGGATGCCAAACCTGGCAGTGAAGATTTGCCCTGGCTGCGATTGACTGAATGGGAGATGACGAAACTGCGCAAGAAGATGAAGAAGAACGCCGTCTGGCAACCTAGTGAGGTCATGATTCACCGGGAACTCGCTCTCCGGGGGCGGGGGTGGGACGCCTATCGGCAAGCCAAAGCGGAAGCAGAAGCCAATGGCACCGAGTTTCTTGACTGCGACGATATCATGAACAATTACGTCCCGGGAATGTTGACGCGGCTCAGCGATGCGAACGGCATCGAGGGCGTGGTGGAGACCAAGTTGAGCAATCGTGGAATGAAACTCAACGAGGCGAAGAAACTCAAGCGTGAGAATATGGCCAGGGAACAAGCGGCAGCCGCAGCCGCAGCAGCAGCTGAGGCCAAACGTCTTGGCGAGCCTGGAGCTACAGACGCAGCAGCTCCCGACCAATCTCTGGTGGAGTCATCCTTGGCCGCTCGGAAGCCAAGCAGAGCCTCGAAAAAGAGAAAGGTGGATGAAAGTGTAGCCGTGGAAACTGCACCCGCTCCCCCTGTAGACTCTGAAACTCGTGGTTCTCTACGAAGCTCAGCAAAGCGCCGTAAAATGAGCAAGACGCCTATGGAGGACAATGAGGCTGTGGTCGACGAGACGGCTGATCTCGCAGTGAACGTCGAGACTCAAAAGGCGTCACCCGTACCATCAGTAGCCAGCACAGCAGCAG